TACACGACCTCTTGATGAAAATACTAACGGTGGGGCTAAAAGTGGAACACATTCAATAATAGTGGTTATAAAGTGGCAAAAAAAATTAAGCTGGACTAAAATTGGAAACGCCCCTATAACAGTAGGACCAAAAATGGAATTCACTCAAAGCTATATATACCATAAAACTTCTAACAAATACTTGTTATATATGTACTAGGACTTACTCTTACAAAATAAAACTTAAAGTTTAACATCAATGTACTCATAACTTTAAGTTTTATTTTGTACATTGATGTTAAACTTATATACTTATAGTATTTTTTCCCCCTCAATTATTTATGTAAGCACATTAGCTCCCTCAATTATTTTAAAAGTGGTGGTTTTTCCCCCTAATATATTAAATTGACATTTCTATCCTTAAAATAAACATTTTATTTATTTTACTTCTCCAACAAATTATTGTGTATATGTAGCAATGACCACGGTTCGGTTCGAACTGAACCGGACACTATAGCAATCGAATTAAAAGTTTTCGGTTATGATTCAGATCTAGAATCCAATATTTAGATTTCAATTTATTAAATTTATGAACCAAAAAAACTGAATCATAAACCGTGAACCGGCGGTTCCGGATCCGGTTCGCGATTTTGAACCGTCTTTATTTTAAATTTTATTTTATTTTTTATTTTAAAATAGTCTAAATTCAACAATAAATGTATTTTATTTTTTCAGTTCGGAACATGAACCGGCCATTTCGATTTGCGATTTTAATAAACTCTAAATATCGCGTTTTGGTTCTAAATTGTAATTGAAATATTTTGGTTTGGTTGCTATCGTATCTGCTTGGTTTGAACCAAATTATAGTAATAATTTGTTGGAGAAGAAAAATAAATAAAATATTTATTTTAAATATTTATTTTAAGGGTAAATATGTCCATTTAACATTTTAGGGAGGAAAAGAGCCACTTAAATAATTCAGGGGGAAAAAGTGCTATAAGTATATAACTCAGGGGGAAAAAGCGTCATTTTTCCTAAAACAAATTAAAGGAAATCAAGAATAGTTCACAAAATATTTAGGACATTAAACTTATAATTTTTTTCTTGCAACACACTCCAAATATAGAAGAAAAGTGAAAAGAGCTATTAGTGTTAATTAAGGAAATTAGCTGTTAGTGTGCAAACTTATGTGATCCTATCACCGTTTTATGCTTCTAATCATTTTCATGCCTTAGCATTGCTCACAGACTCACAGTGGGCTTATTGATCAGAGTGCAATTCAAGCTGCTTAAATAAAAGATAATGCAACTTTTAGACCAAAGTAGAGGGTGAGGAAAGAATATATAACTTTAATTTCTTTAAAGTAGAGGGTGAGGAAGAAGTTTTTGTAGGTGGAACTAAATAAAAAAAATTAAACAAAGTTGCTACTATTGTAAAACTTAACGAACCAAAAATAAGGCAAAAACTTGGGTGAGATCGTCTCACGAATTTTTGTCCGTGAGAAGGGTCAGGTCAAGATGAAAATATAATGTTTGTATGGAAAAATGTAATACTAATTAGGAATAAAGTCTTTGTTACTTATAAGGGAAAGTGTAATACTTTTAAAGAAAAATGTAATACATTTATATTTTGATTTAAAAATATTACATTTTTCGTGTTACATTTTCTCTTATAAGTAACAAATACTTTATTCTTAATTAGTATTATATTGTTCGTTCAGTATATATATTACATTTTCATCTTGACCCGATCCGTCTCACAAATAAGGATCCGTAAGACGGTCTCATCACATGATAAATACTCAAAAATAAAGAGTGACTCTCTTGTGAGGCTGTCACATGGATCCTTATTTGTGAGACGAATCAGATCAAGATGAAAAATGTAATACTTAAACTGAAGTTACTGAACAATGTAATACTAATCAGGAATAAAGTATTTGTTACTTATAAGGGAAATATCAAGGCTCATATAAAGGAAATCAAGATCATTCAACAAAACTTTAGAAATTAATATAAGAGCTCTTTTGTTTTAGCTTAGAACACACTCTAAATATAAAAGAAGAGTGAAAAGAAAAAGTGGTTCTGATTTTGTCTATTAGGGATTTACTTTAATTTTTACCATAAATTGTTAAGAGTGAATTAAGAAAGTGAACAGAATTTGAAGAAATTATTCTTGCTCACAATACAAGCATATATTCTAAATAAATAAAAAAAAAAGGAATAAGGGTCAAATAGGCCATCGAACTGCACATGATAAAACAATTAGGCCACTGAATAAAAAAAAATCAACAATTAGGTCCCTAAACTAATCGATTTCAAATAATTATTCCAATTTGAAGGTTTCCAACAGGTTAACAGGTCATCTCCCAAATTAATTATTCTTTAAAAAAATAAATATTAAAAATTAATTAGTTTTAAATTTAAAAAAAAAAAAAAAAAACTGGAATCCAGCCGAAGACTACCGTCTCCGGCCGGAACCAGTTTTTTTTTTATTTTTTATTTTTTATATTTTTTAGTTTAATTTAAAACTAATTAATTTTTAAAATTTAAATTTTAAAAAATAATTAATTTGGAAGGATGACTTGTTGGAAACCTTCAAATTGAAAAAATTGTTTGAAATTGATTAGTTTAGGGACCTAATTGTTGGTTTTTTAAGTTCAGTGGCCTAATTGTTTTATCGGGTGCAGTTCGATGGCCTATTTGACCCTTATTCCTAAAAAAAATGATGAAAGTGAATGTGTAACACATTTTCAAGTTATATCTAAAGTAAAATTTAAAAAACAAAAGAAAAAAAAAAAAAACAAAACAAACGAATGGCACTTATTATGGTATTATTAATTAGAATATATAATTATGAAAGAATTGCATGTCTGTACTTATTAACTTGTTATGTTATTATATCTGAGTTAATTTTTAAAATGATCGTTTGATTATTGTTATGTTATTTCATCACACTCACATAGTCACACCCTGACCTTACAAAATAGTGAATGGATAAATTACCGTAACTTAACTATCTCTAGGTAGAAGGACTAGTGCATGATGTATGTTCACAAGGAGTTCACCGCATTAGATTGGATGAAACTCACAAAGCCATTGACATCTAAAGAATTAATATGCAATGGTGTAAGGCGGAATGGAAATTCTACCTTAATTTGGGATCACCCCTGGCTCCAGGATGACCTCGACCTATGATCCAAACTGCGATGCCACCTCAACTCGCTGGAGCTGGAGTTACGGGATTAATTGACCAGAATACGGGTAAATGGGACTATCATTTACTCACTGATATTTTCCAACCAAATGATGTGCCTAAAATTATGAAGCTACTAATTTCCTTAGATTATGAGGATATATGGTATTCGCATGGGGATCCTAAGGGTTGCTATTCTGTTAAGAATGGTTACAGACGCGTTATTGGGGAATATGGAATTAATATAATTAAACAAAACATGAATTGCAGGTAAAAATAGTATCTGCCCATCGGACCCCTGAAATGATGTATTCCTATGCAGGTAATAATTGCTGGTGCTTGGGGTGCAGCCCACTTGCCTGGTCAGTACTCGATGAACTATGGTATGTATTTACTACAAACACTCCCTCGATCAACTTTTGAATTTATGACAACTAGACATGGTTGCTGCATTGACTCCATTACCAGTTATTGGAGTTCCAGTACGAGCTTCTGCTCTAGATGGAATGGACTCTCTATTATCTATTGTTCAGGTATTACAAATTCTGAAGTGGGGTTTTATCTCCATTTGATTCAAACATGTCACGTATACATGACTGGAGTATTACTTGATGAAGAGATATCTCATTTTCTCTTGAGAAATAATGCAAAATTGAAATCTACTTGAAAAGGCAAAACTTTGCATGTACTTAATAAATATACGAGCTTTATCAATAACGTCTTAGATTAATATGTTAGTATTTAGGTGAGATGAATTATATGCAATAGTGTAGTGCCAAAGTGCACGTGAGTAGTGGTGCTAGGGGCTTGAGAAACTACAAAGGAAGTGTAACTCTGAATACGAGTTTGATTTTAATCAATAATCGTTTGGTTAAGTTTATAACACAAAGTATTTTTTTAGTGCGGTGTACCTCTTGTGTAGTTTGTAAGTTATTATATAGAAATAGTGTAGCGGTACTGTAGCTGACGAGTTATTATATAAAAATAGAGTTAATCTAGTACACATTTTTAAGTAATACAAAATTATGGAGTAGTGGTAAGTTTTTCTCATTACCTAGAAAAATGTAACTTTGTTATAACTAAATGTACTTTTTATTGGAAAAGCTTATGATGTATAGAGTATGATGGTCACATTGCATCATAACATCAAATTTAGCATGATACAACTTTATAAAGTTAATTACATTTTTGTTCTAGTCTAGATTTATAAGTGACAATTCACTTTTAGTCTTTTTTTTTTCAAATACATCCTCATTGATCTTGGTATTATTTTGACATGATCATTTTGGTCCTTCGTCAACAAAATCATTGAAATTTCGACAATGGTATTTCAATTTTCTTTATATATATATACATATATATATATATATATATATATATATATATATATATATATATATATATATATATATATATATATATATATATACAAAAATAGGTTGGCTTGCTATATTTTTATTTTTATTTTTATTTTAAAAATTATAATTGAAGACCTAAATGCCTTCACGACTATATGAGAAGTAATAGCGGCACAAGATCTAGACCTATGTGTGTGTGTGCACACACGTACGTGTACTTTGATTGCAAGACTTCCTTTTTCATTTTTTCATTTTACATTCTCTGCATTTGCAGAACTAATAGGCCTAGGGTTCATGTACATAGCTTTAGATCAGATGTTAGATCTTGCGAATCACTATAACTCTACCGGGACCCCATAATGTCCATGGCCTCAATTTAATTGAATTATTATCATTGAAAAATGCTTCCTATCCGAATGAGAAGCCATACAATTTAACACAATATAATGAGAAACCAAATAAACTGATGACTCAGCATAAAAAATTAAACCTCTATTACAAATGATATGATGTTGGTAACAAATTAAAAAAAACTGTCATATGCATATGCAAATACATCAAGTGTCATCAATATCAAACTAATTAAGTACATCCTAATCAGAATCCTCGTCATCATCATGGCCGTGGCAGCACTTGAAAGTGACAAACTTTTGCATACAATGACAACAGTGGGGGCATTTTACATTCTCTGGGGCACTGTCAAAATTAGATGGGCATTTAAGAGCACATTGATGATGATGTAGTGAAGTATAGGTAGAATCAAGCATCTCATCATAATGATCTTTGAATGCTTGGTCAAAGCCTTTAGCTATTGCATTCTCCTTCCATTTCTCATATTCATTCATGACTTTCAACATTTTATCTCCTTGGTCACATACAACTATCTTGTCCCCTTTGCATAGCATAGCCCATTCGTTAACTGCTAAATCATTAGCTTCATAGGCTAGCAGCTTTTTTAGTCTTCCCAAAATTTCATCACACTCTTCATCGTCATGAGTCTCTTCTACGAATTTAATCCTTGACACGAATATGATTCGAAGTCGTGTCCAAAAAAGCCATGACAATTCAGCACCACTGACTACTTTGGAATCCTTGTCTTCCTTAATCATTGATGCTACTTTCATGTTACTACCAACGTAGTGCATCTTAATTTTTGATTGTGGGTTAAACTGAGTTGCTAACATTACCTTGGACTCAAATGTTTTAACCCATTGTATGTCATGCCCACCAATTAAAAAAATGCACCTGTTCTCCTTAACCTGATAAATCCTGACAAGTTAGTACTATATAAAATTACTAATGGTATAAAATTTTAAAAATATAAAATTGTGCAACCAGTCGTTGATTTTATTATTAATTTTATATTTTTATATTTTTATTTTTATTTCTTGGTTAAAAAATTCACAACTATTGTGATATTTAGAAAGTTACAGATGAATAGGATCAAAATTTATTTCAAACATTTCTCTAGAATCCCCCAAGTACAGTGTAAAGGAGAATGACATGTAAATTCATCAGTTAAGCAAACTTTTTCTTCTTTATTTTTTTTTTAATAATATACTTTTTAAATTTTAAATTTGACCATATATGTTCAAAAATATTTTAATAAAAATTTTAAATATGTAATATACTAATATTAAATTAAATATTATGCAAAATTAAACTGTATATAATTTAAAAGGTTCTAACCGGCATTAGACAAATTAAATAAAGTGGGAGAAATTAAAGAGTAGTTGCATTTGTGACATAGCAGTGATGAAGTTGGACATACCCACTTTGATAATCTGTAACCCGAATCTACCACAAGCTTAGTGCACCAAGTGTCTATCTTCCATAAATCTTTTTCCTTCTTACTTGTGAAAATGTTACTATCAACCTGTTCATAAAAATATGCTGTTAATATTATCACGTTATTCGATCATTTACAATAATTTTAAATTGAAGAAATATATGTATGTGAGTTAAGGAACTAATAAAATATTCACTAAAATAAATATACCGGATTTTGTATTTGCTTTTCAATGTCACCCAACCAATCATTTATTATACCATCCACTTTATTAGCGACTTCGCTTATCCTCCTATCAATGCCAGGCACCAAATCTCTCACCGTCGAAACCCTTTCTGTCAAAATTTTTTGTAATAAAGGAATTACGCTATCTCCAATCTTAACTCCACCAGACATCCTTTCACAAATATTTAAACCTCTCATCAATACCATGTGCATTGCATTACGGTGAACCATCCTTCCATTATGATCTAGTGAAACAATTATAGGCTCACTTCCTATTTGGAATTCTGGAAAGAATTTCTCTTTAACAAACCGTACAAATCCTGGTGCAACTGATTCCTGTACATTTCTCACTAAGAGTATTTCTGCTTCATTTACTAAACTTTCATATCGTTCTTCCATATGTTTAATATCCCATAATGTAGAAGAGTCTAATATCGGAATCCAAAGTACATACAATTGAGTAATCTCATGTATGACACCAAGTAATAAAATCAAGTACTTGTCAATGTCAAGACTTGACGACATTAATAGTAGCAAGCTCTTATTCTTCAAAAAACGTAATTCTACCTGCAATTCAGTATTTCATATATGTTATTTTATATTTGCAATTAACATAACCAATAATCAAATTGGACGTACACATTGCATGCAGTACTTAATTAGCAATCAAAAGAATTGAAATTATTAATTGAGTAAGCTCATACCATTTTTCTGCTATCACCATCATATATGAGTTTCTGTTTCCCACCTTTCTTGGCATTGAATACTAACTTCAAAACATCCAAATTAGAAGAAGTGGAGGCAATTGGATTATCATCAAAGAATGCATGACATAATGCATTGTAAGTATCCACTTCTATCTTTTCTTCTGCATATATCAATTCAAGTACTCATTAATTATTTAAACTCACTGCAAGTAATAATAACTTTAATTTCGGCCTTGAATTTATTAAACCTAACCTAGTATCGGGCAGCATTCGGAGATTATGTCTTTGATTTTGACATTTAAACTAGAAAGTTGTGTTTCTTCAGCTATAAAACACCTACAATAATAACGAAAACAATAATGACAAACACTATGTTCATACATATTGATTATATATTTATAATCAAAGTTTATCTGATCTATACAAACTCAATAATTAACATTTTGGGAAAATACACCTTATCTAAGTTATTTAAAACATATAATAATGAATTGTATAGTGAAATTAAATCTTACCTTGAATGCATACTCATAAGGCGAGAAGTGAAATAGGATGCATAAGTAAGAATACTCGTGATGATCCAATAGCAACCAATCGGTATGATTGGTGATGAATTATGAGAGGATGATTGCGCAAGTTCAACAATATACTCAGTCAAATGTAATATTGATTTGATTAAATCAGTATCCACCGGCAGAAGTTGACTTTCATGCCCCATGAGAATTGCCAATTTGCCGGATAATCCCTTGTGACGATGAAGAATGCTAAATTCTCCAAAATAGAGGGAGAAAGATGCCAGCATAATCAAAAGCTTGCCATCCCAGGAAAATGTGGACAACATTTTCAGAAAATATACTACAATCGAGTGTCGATCCACATTTTTTGAACACATCAATGACATCTGAAAATTTTAAAATTATTAAAAATTCTTTACGTAATAAACTACTTATTGCATCATAAAATCATGATACTATTTTACAAAGATTCATGAAAATTAGGTATTTGCTATAAAATTTTCTAATTAAATTATAGTATGCGGAGAATAATTGCACATTTATAAAGTTACTATTATACCACATATATATAATTGACCTATTGTAATCTGATTGAAAAATTTAAGAAAAACAAATACGGAGTATCTTTTAATTTTTTTCTTCAAATTAGAGAATTACCTCAGAGGAAAAGTGTTTTAATTGATAGGGAAGTTCCATGTCTTTAGCATATTCCTCCTCAGTGTCAAATTCCTTATCATCATCCACTACTGGAAATTCTGAAATTTCCGACCACCTGAAAATGATCTTAAATTAAGTTGATACCAAAAAGTCCAAAAAATGGTCGGAAATAGCAACAAAGGTTTTTCCGAATATCAAAAGTGGTCGGAAAAAGACTTTCAACTTGATTTAAGATCACTTTCAGGTGGTCGGAAATTTCAGAATTTCCAATAGCGATCAAACCTTTTTTTACTGTCAGATCCCTCCTCATTAGACTTTTTGTCATCATCAGACTCGTCGCTATTTGAGTCTCCCTCATCAGACTTGTCGCCATTAGAGTCTTCTTCATCAAACTTGTGGCCATTAGAGTCTTCCTCATCAGACTTGTCACCATTAGAGTCTTCCTTATCAGATTTGTCACCATTAGACTCTTCATTATCAGAATCTTCATCTTCATCAATGCTATCTCCAATCTAAATCATATATCATCCAACGAAATATATAGACCAAAACATAACAAACTCATTAAAATCCAATTAAGTTATCATGCAAGAAATCCGGTCCATATACAAATCATCCTGCGGAATGTTATTTGTTTATTTTATTTTAGTGATTATAGTGAAACTATATTATGAGCAATTATTATTTATTAATGGCACTTAAATATATAGTTAGATATACAATGAATGTTTTTGTCCTACAATCTTTTCATCAAAGTACTCTTTAGAAATTTATATAATATATACTAAAACATAGAGTAGAATAAATATAATTCCCACCTAATAACTTGAAGTTTAACATAAATGTAAATTAATAGTAAATACACAAACCGTAGTAGGATAGAGAATGCTCTTCACCAAATCGAAGATAACATTAATTTTAAAAAAAAAATTGCCATCTGGATCATGTGTACTCATAACTTCTTCCAAGATAACACTTTCATTAATGTCTGAAACTGCCATCTTTGATAGAGAGAAAGGTTGGGTTGTCTATTTACTAGGGTAAGGAGAGCTTGCAGGATTTAGGCCGGGAAAGAAAAGAGAAAATGTTGCTGGTTTGTGAATAAATTGTGTAGCTAACCTCTTATATTTATAGCATTAAAAATGAAATAGGATGAAAAGGGACAATTCTTTGCTTCAATTGTGAGCAAATAAGTGGAATCATTTAAATTGCTTTAACTATATAGTATGGTGAGTATATATAGATGCCAAATTTAATTAATAAGTATATACCATATATTTTGATATTTAATATGATAAAGAATAAAATATTTTACCTTTCCCTCCCAGAAGTAAAATACTATCTAACTAATATCAATGATCATATAAAACAAATTAAAGGAAATCAAGAATAGTTCACAAAATATTTAGGACATTAAAGTTATATTTTTTTTTCTTGCAACACACTCCAAATATAAAAGAAAAGTGAAAGGAGCTATTAGTGTTAATTAAGGAAATTAGCTGTTAGTGTGCAAACTTATGTGATCCTATCACCGTTTTATGCTTCTAATCATTTTCATGCCTTAGCATTGCTCACAGACTCCGCAAATTATGCCATGGAATCGTCTTCACCGAGAATGGTGAACACAAGACAAAACGACGTCGTTTTTAGGCCAAAAAAAAAAAAAAATTCGCGGATGTGGAGTTAACGGCGCTCGTTTGATCAAATTATGAATTTTCTGTTATGAGATTATGAATTTTATGAAAATTCATAATCTCATAACAGAAAATTCATAATCGCATAACAAAAAATTCATAATCTCACAACTGAAAATTCATAATCTCATAACAGAAAATTCATAATCTTATAACAGAAAATTCATAATCTCATGGTTCCAAAGTGAATGTGTAGGCATGGTTCCAAAGTGAATGTGCAGGCATGGATTCATAATTTATGAATGTCCGTGATTTCGGACGGGAATATGTAGGCATGGTTCCAAAGTGAATGTGCAGGCATGAATTCATAATTTATGAATGTCCGAAATTATGGATGTACAGAAAATTCATAATCTCATAACAGAAAATTCATAATCGCATAACAGAAAATTCATAATCTCATAACTGAAAATTCATAATCTCATGGTTCCAAAGTGAATGTGTAGGCATGGTTCCAAAGTGAATGTGCAGCCATGGATTCATAATTTATGAATGTCCGTGATTTCGGACGGGAATGTGTAGGCATGGTTCCAAAGTGAATGTGCAGGCATGAATTCATAATTTATGAATGTCCGAAATCTTTGTTCACCTCAAATTAAAGTGAAACCGCAAAATGTGAAAATAAAGAAGAAAAGTCACGCAATTAATTAAAAAATAAAAAAAAAAAGATAACGGTGTATTAACACCGTTAGAACCGTGTTCACCATGAATGGTGAACACGGTTCCATGGCATAACGTCTGCACAGACTCACAGTGGGCTTATTGATCAGAGTGCAATTCAAGCCTGCTTAAATAAAAGATAATGCAACTTTTAGACCAAAGTAGAGGGTGAGGAAAGAATATATATCTTTAATTTCTTTAAAGTAGAGGGTGAGGAAGAAGTTTTTGTAGGTGGAACTAAGTAAAAAAAATTAAACAAAGTTGCTACTATTGTAAAACTTAACGAACCAAAAATAAGGCAAAAACTTGGGTGAGATCGTCTCACGAATTTTTGTCTGTGAGAAGGATCAGGTCAAGATGAAAATGTAATGTGTGTATGGAAAAATGTAATACTAATTAGGAATAAAGTGTTTGTTACTTATAAGGGAAAGTGTAATACTTAAATAAAAATGTAATACATTTATATTTTGATTTAAAAGTATTACATTTTTCGTGTTACATTTTCTCTTATAAGTAACAAATACTTTATTCTTAATTAGTATTACATTGTTCGTTCAGTATATATATTACATTTTCATCTTGACCCGATCCGTCTCACAAATAAGGATCCGTAAGACGGTCTCATCACATGATAAATACTCAAAAATAAAGAGTGACTCTCTTGTGAGACTGTCACATGGATCCTTATTTGTGAGACGAATCAGATCAAGATGAAAAATGTAATACTTAAATTGAAGTTACTGAACAATGTAATACTAATCAGGAATAAAGTATTTGTTACTTAGGGAAATATCAAGGCTCATATAAAGGAAATCAAGATCATTCAACAAAACTTTAGAAAATATTATAAGAGCTCTTTTGTTTTAGCTTAGAACACACTCTAAATATAAAAGAAGAGTGAAAAGAAAATGCGGTTCTGATTTTGTCTATTAGGGATTTACTTTAATTTTTACCATAAATTGTTAAGAGTGAATTAAGAAAGTGAACAGAATTTGAAGAAATTATTCTTGCTCACAATGCAAGCATATATTCTAAATATAAAAAAATGATAAAAGTGAATGTGTAACACATTTTCAAGTTATATCTAAAGTAAAATTTAAAAAACAAAAGAAAAAAAAAAAACAAAACAAAACAAACGAATGGCACTTATTATGGTATTAATTAGAATATATAATTATGAAAGAATTGCATGTCTGTACTTATTAACTTGTTATGTTATTATATCTGAGTTAATTTTTAAAATGATCGTTTGATTATTGTTATGTTATTTCATCACACTCACATAGTCACACCCTGACCTTACAAGATAATGAATTGATAAATTACCGTAACTTAACTATCCCTAGGTAGAAGGACTAGTGCATGATGTATGTTCACAAGGAGTTCACCGCATTAGATTGGATGAAACTCACACAACCATTGACATCTAAAGAATTAATATGCAATGGTGTAAGGCAGAATGGAAATTCTACCTTAATTTGGGATCACCCCTGGCTCCAGGATGACCTCGACCCTATGATCCAAACTGCGATGCCACCTCAACTCGCTGGAGCTAGAGTTGCGGGATTAATTGACCAGAATACGGGTAAATGGGACTATCATTTACTCACAAACACTCGATCAACTTTTTGAATTTATGACAACTAGGCATGGTTGCTGCATTGATTCCATTACTAGTTATTGGAGTTCCAGTACGAGCTTCTGCTCTAGATGGAATGGACTCTCTCGAGAAATAATGCAAAATTGAAATCTACTTGAGAAGGCAAAACTTTGCATGTACTTAATAAATATACAAGCTTTATCAATAACAACGTCTCAGATTAATATGTTAGTATTTAGGTGAGATGAATTATATGCAATAGTGTAGTGCCAAAGTGCACGTGAGTAGTGGTGCTAGGGGCTTGAGAAACTACAAAGGAAGTGTAACTCTGAATACGAGTTTGATTTTAATCAATAATCGTTTGGTTAAGTTTATAACACAAAGTATTTTTTTAGTGTGGTGTACCTCTTGTGTAGTTTGTAAGTTATTATACAGAAATAGTGTAATTGTACTGTAGCTGACGAGTTATTATATAGAAATAGAGTTAATCTAGTACACATTTTTAAGTAATACAAAATTATGGAGTAGTGGTAAGTTTTTCTCATTACCTAGAAAAATGTAACTTTGTTATAAATAAATGTACTTTTTATTGGAAAAGCTTATGATGTATAGAGTATGATGGCCACATTGCATCATAACATCAAATTTAGCATGATACAACTTTATAAAGTTAATTACATTTTTGTTCTAGTCTAGATTTATAAGTGACAATTCACTTTTAGTCTTTCTTTTTCAAATACATCCTCATTGATCTTGGTATTATTTTGACATGATCATTTTGGTCCTTCGTCAACAAAATCATTGAAATTTCGACAAGAGTATTTCAATCTTCTATATATATATATATATATATATATATATATATATATATATATATATATATATATATATATATATATATACACATACATATATAGGTTGGCTTGCTATATTTTTATTTTTATTTTTATTTTAAAAATTATAATTGAAGACCTAAATACCCTTCACGACTATATGAGAAGTAATAGCTGCACAAGATCTAGACCCTATGTGTGTTTGTGCACACGCGTCCGTGTACTTTGATTGCATACTTCCCTTTTCATTTTTTCATTTTACATTCTCTGCATTTGCAGAACTAATAGGCCTAGCGTTCATGTACATAGCTTTAGATCAGATGTTAGATCTTGCGAATCACTAAATTACCGTGATTTACATCCACTATATCCCATCAAGCAAAGATATGGAGAGCCCTAGGGGTTCAATCATTATTGTATAGACCATGGTCCACACAAGCTGTATGAACCATATTTTGTATATTGTAAAATAATGTACATTCAGTACAGTATATTAAAAATGTATATTGTATTCAAAGAATGTACATTATTTGAGTACTAAAAGTATATTATTTTGTATAATATACATTCAGTACACGAATAATGTACATTTAGTAAATTTATGTAAACTGTCCCAAAAAATTAACCATGCTCAAGGCTAGAAAATATATTCAGATTCTTTTTAGTACATCCCAAGAGAGTGGGGGTTAATCCATATCCTCAGGTCACTAGACTACAAAGTCTAACCAAAATAAATAAATAAATAAATAAATAAATAAATAAATAATAAAAATCAAATACAAATATTGAAGTTCTGTTTCCACTGTTCAGCAAATTATAAAACAAATTATAAAACTTTGATGAAGCTTAACCAGGATAAGGGAGACTAGATCTCATTCAGCAGTAAGGGTATAAGGCTAAGTTCATGGACACAGGGAAGATCTTTATTGACTTAATTTCCTTCTCACAAGTCCCTTGAAGAAGTCGAAACTGCAGTAAAAATGATTACTATCTTTTTAAGTCCAAAAACACAATTTACTTGAAATGAAATTCAAATATAAAAAGGATAAGATTGGTTTATAATCTGTCAAATTTTTAAAAAAGTAAAACTAAAATTAAAAAAAAAAAAAAAAAAAAAAAAAAAAAAAAAAAAAAAAAAAAAAAACCTCTTCGAAAATACAATTCCAGTGATATTATCAAGAAAGCACATTTATAATACATTCTCTCCTGCACAAAATTTTCCTTAATGATAAACATCTAGAAAATAATAAAACAAAATCATTCATATGGGCACATATATACTGGGTATGTAGCAAATCGATTAAGTGTCTAATGGAGACGATACACACAATCAACTGTAAGTGTACACAAGCAACAAAATCATCATCATCGATATATCAGCAACTCTTATGCAAAGATATAATAAAAAAATAAATACATATCTAGCAAACTTAAATATGAATACTTTGTGAAACAATCACCATATGCTTTTATCTTTCATCACTAGGGTAGCTTCTATTAACAGGCTGTCCAGCTGAAGACATGGTGGTACCATCAAGGGTAGTTTGGTTCAAAGAGAACTATGAGGCAAGTTGTGCTAGTGATTGTTAGGGACTAAAGATGGGACAAAACTAGCAATGTTTTTTTTCTTAGTGAGCACGATTAGTATTTAGTAATACTGTAATTGGAACTTGGAAGAAAGAGTGGTACCTATTTTTGGTTGGAGGATTAATGATTGTAAGTAAAGCAATCCCAGGACATGATGTCAGGGTGGGGATTGGAGAGATTGAGATTATGTATGAATGGTTATTTTCTCCAAATCCAAGAGAAAACAATCAACCACATCCTGGGACTCACTCTCCCAGACCCTAGTCAAATTTGGTTAATGAGAGAGTGGACAAGCTTTTTGGTTTACGTAAAAGATGTTAGTGTTACATAAGAGAAACCTTACAAATTTACCTTCAAATCATCCCAGATTTTGTATCCCTCTAATTGTGCAGAGACTCAACATAACTTTTATAATAGAAGCACAATAATGTGCTGTATGCTAAAGCAGAAACATATAATGCGGGTATAACAAGGTTTTCTGGCTGAAATGTTAGAATTTCCCAATCTGATCACTACTTAAAACACACACAAGACTGATAATGAATATGAGAAAATATGATACCTGTTGCCATCGGGATGAAGTTCACATGTTTGACCATCATCAGTTATGGCTAACAAGTAACCTGAGGATGATAAGCCCTGAATACAAAATTAATTTAGAAATCTCAGCATAAAGTCAGAAAAAAAAAAAAAAAAAAAAAAAAATCGGTTCATGAGATGACACCAATGGCACCAAATCAAATTGGAGAAGTTGGTCAAATAAGAATTTATAAAGACCCTGTAATCCCATATATTTATCTGAAGGGAAAATATTAAAGGAATCAGCTGACCTGAATGGTCACTACATTCTCTACAAACTGATCCTGGTTTTCAGTTTTCTCCTGTACAATAACTCGTTGTCCACTGTAGTCAAAATAAATCAGAAGAAAGAATACTAGCAAATCCATGAAAATAATTCCAAGCACATTTAAACTTCACAGATATCAACACTTGTTAACCAAATCCAGTAAAACAATCCTTTAAACTTGTAAATCAAATACTGAGTTGAAAGCAAAATCGTGGAAAAAGCTCTCCCATATTATATCATATATTGTTATGTTAAACAGATGCACAGTCATGTGTAGGGATGATTGTCATATATATATACAATAAGTTTGCATTGGGCATAAATCCAAGTGAAATAATTTCAGAAGCAAGACATTTTTAAACACAGTAAATGCAAATGTTTTACCTGTGGAGCCAAGTCTTGTAGTACAACTCCTCAAGAGGCTGAAATCCTGCATAGACCGAAAATTACAATAGAACTATAATGATAGACATGATTAACACACAGAAGAGGTATAGGACTAGTACTGCATGATCCATTACCACTAAAATCGAGATGATTGTATAACAATTAATGGACCTGTAATTCTAAATGTTGTTAACAGCAAATTTGTAACATCAGTTCAAGAAAAACAAGATCTTAGGAACACTATTATAATCACATCTCCAGGCATCATGACAAACTTGGAATAAATGAGGCCAAACCCAAGGGATGGAAGTAAAGGAGGGGGGAGATAGGCATTACATTCTCTGGTTACAGGGTACAAAGAGGAAAATTGGAAGGGTGGAGAATACAACTTTATCAGCCTTCATAAAGTCTTGATTATTGTAAAATGAGTGAAAAGAAGAAGAAAAAAAATTATTTTTCTTTACTTACAATCCCTCTGAATGAAAGGACAAACAGATATAATCTCCTAACACAACAAACTAAGCAATTAAGTTGGGCCTAGAAGGGTCTATCATTCTAAAGTCTATAAACACTTAAGCAGTGTACTTACTAGATCTCCAAGTAAGCACGTGATGAACAGGGAATAAATGAGCAAAAATTGGAGGAAATGAAGTAAAAGAGGGAAATCTGAAATTACAGTCTGGCTAGAAGGTACAAAAAGAAATCAGAAGGGCAAATGTTACAACCATACTAACCTTTATAAAGCATTGCAAGATGGATAAAAAATCAGGGCGTATGTTTCCATTATTTAATATCCCTTTGAATTTAACAAGATGAAGTGGAAATAATTCTCAGAATAAAAAAACTCAGAAAGTCACCTTGGTACCCTAGCATAACTTCTTTGGTAAAAAAAAAAATGTCAAACTACTATATGTGCCCCCCACACTTTTTGTTAAATACATAAGAGATATCTGGGAGCTTTATTGGAAGTAGCTACAATCTTAGTTATTGAGTTAATACCCAATTTAATCCTCAACTATAGTGGTTTTTCTCGATTTAGTCCAAAAAGTATTTTTGTGCTTAATTGGGTCCTGAATTTCGATGGTTTGCCTAATTGAGTCCTCTGTTAGAATAGCTTGGTAATTTCCCCTATATTAATACCCAATTTAGTCCACAACTATAGTGGTTTTTCTCAATTTAGTCATTGATTCTAACAGCCAAGGACTCCATTAGGTAAAACCATCAAAGTTCAGGATCCAATTAAGCACAAAAAGACTTTTAGAACTAAATCAAGAAAAACCACTATAGTCAAGGACTAAATACAGAGGCAATCACAAGAAAAAAACAATTACACTGTTGCTTGTTCCTAACTTGTCTTTGTTGGGGCCAACAAGCCTTACCCAAAACCAGAAAACTATAATGTATTGTAAGTTTGTAACTATTGTTTATTCTCAAAGGGCCTACTAGCATCAAGAAACTCAAGACAGCATAAAACTGGAAGAAAACTATGGGATTTTACTTTCTTGTTCACAGAAACCATAAAAATAAAAATAAAAAGTGGATTCAAAAAGTGGCAAGTATGTGTCTTATTATCCCATGATTGCTCATATTCAAAGGAAAAATATCTCACCTTGATTAAAGAAAACATCAATGAAGGTCTCAAACTTATTGAAAAAGGCTGCCATTATATCTTCCCTTTTAAATATGTTTGGAACAGAAGTTGATTTCTGCAGAACAGTATTCAAGCATGTTGTGGGCTTTTCATTATCTACATTTATGCCTATTCCTGCATAACAACAGTCAGATGTCAAAAGACCATTGAATCAAGTTTTTAAAACCCTCACACTGATAAATATATACACCACCAAGAAAATCCCAAAGTCCTCTTGTAGTCTTGTTGGAGATTTAAGCAGTTCAATAAGGCAAGCAACTGAAATTTATAAAAAGTCCCAATGCACAGATCCCATATTATGACAAGTTTAAGTAGATTTATTTTTAATATTACCAACACACTAACTCTTGTGATGTGGAAATCAAGAAAATTAATAGAAGGAAGCATCTCCCCTAAACTCTAACCACCTTGCCCCCAAAAGGAAAAACACAAAGAGAATACAAGAGGAAGAGAAATTGAAGAAAAAGGAGAAGTAGTATTGTTAGTTCATTAAGTGAATGAACTCAATAAGAAATTTTTTTGTTAGAAAGTCTGACTGTTTACCAGCACTGATATTAAACTTCTGTGACTTATATGTTGAAGTGCACAAAATGCCACCAACCTTAAGGCCACCTAAATATAAATCATTTGGCCACTTTATTCTTACATCAAGATGTGGTATACCCTGAAATGAAATACATTATCCAAAACAATGATACTAAACAAAATCCAATAGACGCAAATATTGAAATTTGGAAGAGTTAAAGCATTAAACTAGAATACATTTAAATATCACTCAGCGGAAATTCAGCAAAATCAACTCTAACGGATAAAAATCAGTTATAAAGAACTTACATATCACTGCTTCACATTTCCTTCATATAAAAATCATTGATGAAACCTAGGGGAAATACTTCATAAATTGCATGGCAATATGTCTAAGGTAAGAGATATATTCATTTCGTCACTTGATACACGTTATTTAAACATTATAGGTTTTGAATAAATCATTTACTATAGATTGGGAAAATTAGATTCTCTCCTCTTGAGGCTAGAAAGATTGGATGTGCGCCATGAACTTTCCTTTTCATCATTCATAAGAAAAACTACTAAAAGGCTCTCCACAAGCAACAGCAAATTGCAGTATGTTTAAACAAACTAGAGTCCTCAGGATGAATCTTATATCACATAATAATTCGGAGATTTTATCTCAATAAGTGTTGCCCAAACTTTTTAAAGCGAAAAAGCGCACTAAAGCGACAAGGTTGGGCTTTGCTTTAAAGCGCAAAACGAAACGTTATATATATATATATATATATATATATATATATATATATATATATATATATATATATATATATATATATATATAGTCAAAAAAACTCCAAATATTCAAATAGTAATGCAAAATAACATAAATAAGAACTCCTAAAGTCACAATATCATAATAATACAAACTTTAGTCTTCAAAATAAAGTCATTCAAGCCAAATTGTCACCAAAATATCACATACAATATTCATAATCAATCATTCAATCCTCCATCTCAAAATCATCTTCTTCATCACCCAAATTGTCAAACTTAATAACTCTATCATCTTCAAATGCTTCTTCATCTTCTTCATCCACTAGTCTACGTTCGGGAACCTTTTCCTTTCCCTTAAACCTTGAACTCCCTACCTTCTCTTTTCCTTTAGAAGCATGCCTAAGAGAATAAGGAGTTTCATTTGCACCCGAAAACTTAACAATTTTCCCCAAGTCAATCCATCTCTATCATCAAACACCAACTCTTCATTAGCATCATCTGGGATACTTGTCAACCATTCATTAGCAAAATCAATTTGATTCAAACTAATTGGGTCAATGGTATCCCGCCCCGCATTTCATTAGCAAAATCAATTTGATCCAAACTAATTGGGTCAATGGTATCCCGCATTTCCCATTGCCGCCTCAATGCTCTATTATACTTAATGAAAACCAAATCATTAAGGCGCAATGTGCTCAAGGCGACTTATCCTTTTCGAATGCAACTGGAATATTTAAAATTAATTAGTGCTTAAATATGTTATAATTGCTAATTAATAACTTCAAAATGATAAGTTGACTAACTTACATGCTCAAACACACTCCAATTTCTTTCACATCCCGACGCACTAGTGGTGAGACTAAGAATCTTAATTGCAAACTCTTTCAAATGTGGAGTTGAACTCTCAAAAGAATTCCACCAATCAACTATAAATTTGAAAATTATTCAAAGTTTGCAATATTTTGATTGTAAATAAAAATTGTAAGTTCGATTGTCTAAGGAGTAAGACCCTAGAGGTTAGAACCACGTTGTTTCTTGGCAATTGGCAAGCCAAATAAACCACGCCCAACTTCCCAAGTAGACACTTCCTCGGCAATTTTCTCATAGACATCTTGATCTGGAACCAACCTCTCCAAACACTCATAAAAGCCAGCAATAACTTCTGGCAATTTAACAGTAGAAGAAACCGATGTCTCACCACTATACCGGAAGCAATATGGATTCAAGTAGTACGCAACTGCATGCAATGGTTGACGGAGCTGGGAACTCCACCATTTATCTAGGATTTCAAACTCAGATTAACGGAGATCAACATCAGGATATTCTATTTGGGGGTAATCTTGTTTCTTGGAAAAGTAAGAAACAAGATGTGGTTGCACGTTCAAGCACAGAAGCAGAATACCAAGCAATGGCACTTGTGGAATATGTGAGCTAATTTGGGTTTAAACAACTTCTTACGATGAGACTAATTCCTGTCTACATATAACAATAATAATAAACATTATTAATCATTATTACTCACACTTACAAAACTCAATTTCTATAAGCCCGATCCTATGAAATTAATGTGATAATCAAGCAGCGCTACACATTGCATCTAATCTTGTCTACCGAAAAAGGACCAAACATATTGAGGTTGATTGCCACTTTATACAAGAGAAGGTTGCATCCGGAGACATTGTTACCACATTTGTTGGGTCAAATGTTCTCACCAAATCTCTTCGTGGACCTAGGATTGAATACATTTGTAGCAAGCTTGGAGCATTTGATTTATATGCTCCAACTTGAGGGAGAGTGTTGGAAAATATTTTTTGTTGGAAACATTTGTCTTGGCCAGGCTGAAATTTACTCTTGTTGTTGTGCTTTGAGAAGAGGATTAGGTTTCTTGGGCAGTTTAGAATTTATTGTGTACTTTTCCAAATGTCTTTTGCTTGCCTATATATTTTGTGTGTAATCTGAAGCTTTATATGGAACAATAAACATCATTTCTACTTTTCCCTACTACTGTTCTACAGTTGTAATTTGATATTCATTGTATCAAGCAAAAATAATATCTCAAAAGTGTCATTTAAAGAATAATCATTCATCTATTTTACATGCACTTACCGTATTTAGAGGTGCTTGCATTCCCACTTTTTATTATGAAAACTTAACCAGATTTGATGCTGTTAAACAGGTGCAACACATCCAATTTCTATCTTAAACTGAATTCTCTGTACTACATTCAACCTACAATTTCAAAATGCAACAAGACTAGGCAAATAAATTTTGCAATGCACTTACATATTGCTTGCAGAGATCATTAATAGCATCTGTCATGGCAAGACTGACTACGTACTGAACATGTGGCACCATTCGTCCATCTTCCATTTGTAAGGTAAAGGAAAATAGAAGGGATCCCTTTGGTGATTCCCACACATTCATTGAACGACCTACACAGATAAGTGATCAGACAAAAAGTATCATAAACTTAAACCATTTATTGCAGCACAACTCCCATAATACCTCGCCCCTTGAATTGCACATCAGCGACACACACTGCACCAACTGGCAGCTCACAGAAATTTCTGCCCAACAAAGAATAATTTCAATGGTGAAATTGTAGTAGGGGCCAGGGCCAGGGCCAGGGGGCAGTGCTTGGGTTGGGCCAATTCTTATCATATTTAAAGTCGAAATTTTAACTGATTTATAAAATTTGATAAACTGTATAGGTTATTAGTTTCAATACTTCTAGTCATGTTATATCCGGATAAAAATTTGATCCAAACATAAGATGTTAAAATGTCACATAGACTAGCCTCCAAAATAAAAGTATATACATTTCACTCAAACTAAACACATTTGAAAACATTTTGAATATCAAGTCTTAAAAAGCACACAAATTTTTTTATGTAATTAATTTTATAACATTATAGTCCCAAAAAATTGAGTTTGGAAAACGAATGTGAAAAATTGCTGCCCATAACATATTTTCTAAATTGAAAAATATGATAAAGGGAATGGGAAAACTGGAAAACAAAAAAATGGAAAATGGAAAACGGAAAACGGAAAACTAGATAATTGAGGTAAATGCACCCTTAAATTTTCAAATCCTAAAGTTATCAGCTAGGATAAATTTTATTGAAGCTAAGTATGAGCTTTAAAATAGGAATTCAATCTACTTTAACTTTTGGCTCTAGTTAGTTCATAAAAATACTAAACAACTATCCAATTATTATAATCATCATACAATTTATTTACTCAATAATACAAAATAACATAACCTCTTTTGTTCTATCCATGATTACAAAATATTTATCCAGATATCATTTCTTAAGTATTCTAAAAATAGTGATAACTGAAGGTAAAAAATAATGAATATTCTCATTTTCAAAGAATTTCTAGATTTTTTTGGTACAAAGGGTCACTAGAAAAGATTAAAACCCTAATAAATAGTTACTAAACCCATACATACCGTGCAACGACGTCCTGTGTTGAAGGCAATCTAGGAGAGTAAACAAGGAACCTCCCGAGGCTTATCGTCAAAAGGGATTTAAAGTAATCTCTAATGCGAAACCCTTCGTTTCCGAGGCTATCTTCGACCTCCGGATGCAAAACAACTTCGAATTGATCGTCCCCAAGGAATTTCATAGCATTGTTATTCTTCAATGACTTGGCCAATTCATTCTCAGGTGCAGATTTCCCGCATAACACCAAAAGTGAAGGCGCCGATGATTCTGATTCCATATCTAACCCCAAAAAACAAAAGTTAAAGTTGTATAAAATGAAAAAGTATTAGTAATTAATCATACATACATACATACGCACATGTATACATAGAGGGGAGAAAGAGAGAAAAGGTGTTTACAGGGTGTAGGGGAAGAAGTGGGGAAAGCCAAGTGAGAAGAAGATGCAAGCTGAGGAAGAGAGCGAAAGCAGGAGGAGGATCGATGGTGAGAGAGTAGAGAGCGGCTAATCAATATCATCAAGCTTTGTATAGTCCGCTTCAGCTCAAGGGAGAGAGTAAATGGTGTCATGTTTTACTCCCATTACTTATTAGCGGGGCGCTCCACTTCGGGCATTGGAATCTCCTTCCAATTTTTGCGGGTATATAGATACACAATATTCAAAATACAAGATAATTAAACTAAAGAGTAAATACAAAAAAAAAAAAAAAATTATACCCAGTCAATATAAACAAAAAGAAATTCATAATTATGATGTCTATCAATGAGGCTGGGGCTCGGGCACACGGCAAATCTTCTTAGTCTCCAGAAACCAGCATTTGGAACGAGTCTTTCCCATGTTCTTGCTGGTTCAGATTTGCACCTTATGAGCAACAATGTGTGGACTTTATTATCGGGTTCTTGACTTTTTTTCTCTGCATTTTTCACCATTTGAGCTCTCAAAATCTTCACTTTCTTGTCTCCTCCCTAATTTCACAGGTTTTGCGTTTCCACAATCTGGTGAAGAAGTGAGCTTTTCGGCAGATGCTTGGATTCAATCCCGGAATCATCTGTTTTTGTGGGGGGCATAATGACGAACCCCAGAACCTACAAGCCAGCGCGCGATGAAGATCTATATGGAGCAGATCTACACCGGATTAAAAGCAAAGCATTCTTGGGTGGTGAAGATGAAGATCCAAAAAAAGCACTATTATGTTATCTTCTTGGACTAAGGGCGGTGAGCAAAGCATACCAAGGTTTGGGATTTGGTTTATCCGACGGCAAGGGGAGGGATTGATAACCCTCCCATGGCTGAAAATGACCACTGTAGAGTTATATATGTCAAATGACCGTTCTACCCCTGCTTTTGACGGCTTAGACGGCAGAAACTAACGAGAGGATGGTAGCAGGTCAGTTTTCGCAACTCGAAGGACCACAGATGGTAATTACGGAAGTTAGGGACTATAAGTGGTGAAACCACCAAACTCAAGGGACCTTGGCTGGTATTTACTCTATTACAAATCTACAATTAATTACTAGTAGGCTCATATTACATTAGTATTACTAGTTTACTACTTTACTAATCACTAGTAAACTGTAACAACTTTTAGCAGAAGTAAACATTATATCTAACACTGTATTTAGCAGTAGTAAACACTAGCACTCTAGCAGTAGTTATTACTAGTAATACTAATTACTAATTAGTAAACACTAGCACTCTAGCAGTAGTAAACACAAATTATTAGCATTTTAGTATAGCAGAATTATTACTAGTAATTAACAAACACAAATTATTAGCAGAATAGCAGCCGCAGCCCGCAAGGTAGCAGACTAGCAGTAGACCAGTAGTAAACAACTAAATACTAGCAGAGTAGCCGCCGCCGGCCGCCGCACCGACGGAGGCAGAACTAGCCGTCGGTCGCTGCTGTCTACTGCAGAGTGCAGACGAACGTACCTACAATCTACATTTCTACACGGCTAGTCGGCTACACTTGAACTCTAGAAGTCTATGAAGAGTAAGAGGACCACAAACCTCGCCGTCGGTCGCTACCTCGCCGACTCACCGCGTCTTCGTCGGTCGCTGCCTCGCCGAATCACCGCGCCTTCGTCGGTCGTTGCCTCGCCGCCTCACCCCGTCGCAGCCCTCGTAGCTCAGTCGCGTCGCAACCCTCGCCCTCCAGGCTCCGGACTCCAGTCGACGATTTGATTTGTGTAATGGGTATTGCCGTATTGGGAATTAGGGTAGTTGATCACTTGACTGGGGTAGGTTATGTATATATTAATATATTAATATATATAGTGGGGGTTAAATTATAAATATGAAAATATATTAGATACAAAATGTAATATGTTATAATTAAATATTAAATATAAATATTATAATCTATTATAAATATATATATATATATATATATATATATATATATATATATATATATATATATATATATATATATTATAAACAGGTCAGGTCTGTAGGCTTGTAGGCCAGACTTTTAAATATAGGTCTAGGCCTATTTAACTAAATAGGCTTTAAATTAGGCCTAGGTCTGGCCTTTTTACTAAACAGGTCAGGCCGTAGACCCTTATGAAGGGGCCTGGCCTATTCCCACCCTTACCTGTAGGATCCCGTAGTTGATCAGCTGCCCCAACAATTAGAGCACCACGTCTCTGTACCTCCTCATTCGCTCATCGCTTGCCTCGAACTTGCATGTGACCTGGCCTACCACGAGTCTGGAGTCGCACCGGACCTTGAGCTTTTCCGCCCTCATGTTCAACGCGAGGCGGAGCCCCCCTAGGAGCGCTTCGTACTCGACCTCATTGTTGGATAGCTTGAACGCGAAGCGGGGGGCGTAGTAGGCTCGGAACCCTTCCGGGGTTATGAGGACGACCCCTCCTCTGCAGCCTTTAGTGCTGGAGGACCCATCGTCGAAAGGATCCATCACTCCTCGTCTTCGTCTCAGACGCGCTCCGTGGCCTCCCGTGCGGTGCACTTGACTATAAAGTCAGTTAGTGCCTGCCCCTTGATAGCGGGTCTGAGCTTGAACTGGATGTCGAATTGGCTCAGCCGCATGGCCCTCCTGACCAATCTGTTGGCCGACCCCGACGCCCTCAATACTGCATCCAGTGGTTGGTTGGTGAGGACCTGTACGGGGTGGGCCTGGAAGTAGTGGCCGAGCTTTTTTGTTGTGACATCCAATGCGAAAAAGGCTTTCTCAATGAGCGTGTATCTGATTTCCTCCCCTCGTAGGGCTTTGCTTGTATAGTAGACGGGTCGTTGGACTCCTTCGTCGTCCCAGACCAGCACGGAGTTGACCGCGGCCTGCGAGATGCCCAGGTACATGTATAAGACCTCCCCCTAAATGGGTTTGGCTAGGGGGGAATGACATCATGTATGCTTTGAGGTCCTCGAAAGCCTTCTGGCACTCCGGACCATTCGAACCCCTTGGTCTTCTTGAGTGCTCCAAAGAATGGTAGAGATTTTTCGGCCGATATTGAAAGGAAGCAGCAGAGGGCTGCCAACTGCCCGTTGAGGCGCTGGACCTCCCGGAGAGACCTCGGAGGTTCCATGTTCAGGATGGCCTTGATCTTGTCGGGGTTGGGCTCTATGCCCTTCTTCGAGACCATGTACCCCAAAAACTTCCCCCGTGCACCCCGAAGGTGCACTTCTTGGGGTTCAACCGTAAATTGAAGCGTTGCATTATCGAAAATACCACGGCTAAGTTATCCGTGTAGAGGTCGGTCTCGGTGCTCTTGACAATCATGTCGTCGACGTAGGCCTTCGGGAATACGACGATCCCCTGGTGATGTTATCACATCTGTGCTTGTTTTTATGGTTATTTTGAATCATCCAGTAACTAAGTTCTTTAATTTTGCTTATTTAATACATGTTTTCCTTGCTATTATCATTTAATTATGGTTCGCACTTGTTTTGAATATTTTACGGTGTTTGTTAGTGTTTTTGAACCATTTTAGGTCAAAGATATGACCAAGGGGAGTTCAAGGATGAGTTTGGAGCAATTTTGGATGAGTTCGGGGCCCAGTGGACTCGACGCGTCGAGCCAAGGGCTCGACACGTCGAAATTTTCCAGTAGCTAATTAATTTGCGCACAGGAAGTCTCGACGCGTCGAATATGCGTCTGTTTCTGGGATAAAAACAGACGCCTAAAGTGGCGCGGATAAAAAAACAGACGCCTAAAGTGGCGCAGCTGGGCAAAATTCAATACAAGTGCGAGATTTCTTTTCCTAATATCAATTGCGCGGACTTCAAGGCTCATATCTCCATATTAAAAGTTAGCAATTCAAGGAATCTTCCAAATTCTAAATATCATTAAAGACGGCAATTTCTTTATTTAAATATAGGAATTAGAATTTGAGTCCAATTTGGTACAAGATTTCTATTTCATCTCAACTTTGTACCCACTATAAAATCCCTCCTTCCTCAACCCTAAGCACACACAGAGAGATTTTCAGAGATTCTTGGAGACAAGAAGGAGAGAAATCAAGAGCCACAAGTTGTCTTGGAAAGCAAGAAGAAGACTAGGGAGATTTGGGAAAATCGTCTGGTTAATTCTTGTACTCTTTTGATGATTTGTAATTCTTTATTTATATTTGCTATGTATAATTTAGTCATGCTTGGCTAAATTCTTTAGAGATTCTTGGGTAAAAGTGTTTATGAACCTATGTGTCTGAGCTCTCAGTTTCTTTAATATATTATTATTTGGGTTTAATACTTGTATTGCAATCGTGATAATATTGTTTGATGCTTGTAATTAATGGCCATAGTTACTAGCTTCATAGCCATGTTTGTGTCACCAATGGGAGTTGGGGCATAAATTAGGGTACACACAATTGCACCTAATGGTTGGACCTTGGGAAAGGGGAACTTATTAGGGGAAGTTTATTCTAGATTGTTGCCAATCGGGAGATGGTAGTAATTAGGAATAATTGAATGCTGATCTTCGATCTTAATGGGTGTTTAAGCCACGGGAGTGGAAATTCACTAGGAATAGAGATTACGGGAGTAATTCGATTCCACTTTGCATTCCCACACAAATCTTAATTCCAAACTAAATATTGCAAACGATAATTGGCACTAGGTGATTAAATACTTGAATCCCATGAATCTCAACTTCTCTCTAATTGTTTTCAAAATCCTGAACCTCTGTTTTATTTTATTTATTTTATGCCAATCAATCATCTAAGTAATTGTTAGGATTAGCTCTAATGAATAAGTTAGTAACTAGTGCTTGATACAACCACTTCCCTGTGGATCGATAACTCGTACTCCGAGAATTATTTGTTTGCAAATATACTACGCATCACCTGGCCATCCGTGTGCGCCAGGATGGTGCTCACAGGCTGCGTCAACGGGGTGAGGTAGCGTGTGGGGGTCAATCTAGGCCCCTCGGCGTATTCACGTCGGTGTGGTTATGGCGCCCTGCGTTCCTCTTGGGGTGCCTTGTCTTTCCGGCCTCTCCCCTCCTCCTACTCCTTCTTCCTCTTCTCGGCGGCCTCGGTGTAAGCATACCTGGCCGCCCTGTCCATCAGGTCGGTATAGTTCCTTGGGGGGGGGGGGGGGGGGGGGGGGGGTACCGGATGAGGTCTTGGTGGAAAACACCCGACCTCAAGTTGTTTCGAAAAATCGATATGGCCAACTTCCCATCAAAGTTGGTGACCCCCAAGGCCTCCTCCTTCCATTTGCGACGACAGCAACACCCAACAGTAGCGACACTCCACTCCAGTGACCTTTCCTCACTCTCGTCGTCTCTCGTTTTCCTAAGGCGAAGGTGGTAGATCCGGCGAGCAGAAGGCAGAAAAACGACATATCGGACGTCTTCCGGTCCGGTTCGAGCTTTTCCCGGTGGTGAACGGCGGCGGCGACCTCCGGCCGTGCTCCGGAGAAGTGGCAGAAATGGCGGCAGTTAGGATATCCATTTTCCTTCAATTTTCACTCTATTTTTCGCTAATACCTTCACACAATCTGCTTCCACTATAAATTTAATGAGAGCTTTCTCGAATCAAGAGATCCGATGTGCACATTGCTTGTAGTTGGAAGGATTTTCTGAAATTGAGCCCTAATTGCTTCAATTGGGGCTTCTCCTTCCAAAACTTGCCAATCAAGGTTAGTTTCCTCTCTTTTTCTACTAGATTTTCCCAATTTGATTCCTTAATTGAAACAATAGATTTTCCTTCGTGTTTCCTTTGAGTAGCTGAACCCAGATTATCAGAAATTGTACCTTGATTTCCATTCGCAGGCAAATGCTACTCCGATCCTGCTTCACGATTTTGATTTTGCACCATCTCTATTTCGCGATTCTGCACCGTCTCTACTTAGAGCATAAGGATTCAACCCGAGAGCATAAGGAAATTGTTGAATTAAACTCAAAGGAAATTGTTTAGACCACTGAAACTTCATCTCACTTTGGGTCTAATGGCTGGTTGAGAACGACAATGAAAAGGGCTGCAAAGTGAAGGAGAAGGAAGTGTGTTGAAAAGACGCAATTACCCCCGCTCAAACGGCGCATCTAACGGAAATATTGACCGAGGACCAAAATTGTCCTCGTCAAAATAAGAGTGTTCACAAATTGTCTGATTTTTTTAAAGATGACTAAAATTGTCCGTGTCACTGTAAGTCTAGGACCAAAAATGTCTTTTACTCTAAAATATTAATTATATTTGCAATTGTGTTATGGTATTACTTTATTTCTTGCAAACTATCTGATCTAACTCATCCAACTCATAATAGTATGTACCGGATTTTGTATTTGCTTCTCCATTTCATCCAACTCATCAAGCATTAGTCTTTCCATTTTACCAGCGATTTCTTTTAATTTCTCATCAATTTCAGGTACCAAACTCCTGATTGCCAACGTCCTATCCTTCAACACATTCTGTAACAAAGGAATTATACTATCTCCAGTCTCAATTCCAGTGTCAAACCCTTCAATAATATATATATATATATATATCTCATCATCAATATCATGTGCATTGCATTATGGTGAACAATCCTCCCTTGGTGATCCAGTGAAACAATGATAGGCTCACCCCCTGCCCCTATTTGGAACAAGTTCTCTTTAACAAACCGCACAAAGCCTGTTGCTACTAATTTCTGTACATTTCTCACTGAAAGTAATTGTCCTTTATTTACTAATCTTCTATACATTGCTTTCAATCGTCTAATATCCCATATATAGGAGACTTTAATATGGGAATCCAAAGTACACGCAAGTTAGTTGCATTTTGTAAGTATTTAAATATCACAGTCAAGTACTCGTCAATGTCAAGACTTGACGATATTAACAATAGCAAGCTCCTATTCTTCAACGAACATAATTCTACCTGTAGTTCACAATTTTTTATATACAGTATATTATTTTATATTTACAATTAACAATCAAATCAAAAGAAATTATTAATTGTTCAAATTTAATTGAGTTAATACCCAAAATCGTCCTCGACTATAGTGGTTTTTCTCAATTTCGTCCTAAACGACTTTGGTGACCTAATATCGTCCTAGACTTTTGTGTTTCGCTCAATTTAGTCCCAGACTTTTGTGTTTTTGCTCAATTTAGTCCCTCATTTGTTATTCTGTCTATTTGGTGTTAAATAAATAGACAATTCAGTAATTTTAATATTGGCATCTCTTTACTCATAGACATGTGAACTGCGAAATCTTTTTTTTTTTTTTTTTTTTTACGAATTACTCCCGAAATTACTCCTAAAACTGCGAATATAAAATTTGATTTGCAGGTCCGGGAGTAATTCTGGGTGTAATTCGTACAAGAAAGAGAAATTTCGCACTTCACAAGTTGAAAGTAAAGAGATATCAATATTGACATTACTGAATTGTCCCTTTATTTAACACCAATTTGACGAATTAACAAATGGAGGACTAAATTGAACAAAACACAAAAGTCTGGGACGATATTAGGTCACCAAAGTCGTTTAGGACGAATTTGAGAAAAACCACTATAGTCGAGGACGATTTTGGGTATTAACTCAAATTTAATTTAAGGCTAAGGGAGTAAGCTCATACTATACCATTTCTTCCCTATCTATCACCATCATATATGATGAGTTTCCGTTTCCCACCTTTCTGGACATTGAACAATAACTTCAAAACATCCAAATTAGAAGAAGTGAAGGGGATTGGATTCTCATCAAAGAATACATGACATAATGCATTATAGGAATCCAATTCTCGCTTTTCTTCTGCATATATCAATTCAAATACTCGTTAATTTAAACTCACTACAAGTAACCAGGACTATGTGGTCTAATGGTATCCGGGTTGAACTTCCATTTGGAAGGTTATGAGTTCGAGCCTCAGTGTGGAGGTGTTATAGGCTCTTTGTGTTTCACTACAAAAAAAAAAAAAAAAAACTCACTACAAGTAATAATAACTTTAATTTCCGACCTATACTTGAATTTATTGAACCTAACCTAGTATCGGGTGGCATTCGGAGGTTACATCTTTGATTTTGACAGTTAAACTAGAAAGTTGTGTTTCTTCGGCTATAAAACACCTACAATAATAACAAAAACAATAATGACAAACACTATGTTCATATATATTGATTATATATTTATAATCAATTTTTATCGAAGTTATTTAAAATATTATAATAAATTGTATAGTGAAATTAAATCTTACCCAGAATGCATATTCATAAGGCTAGAAGTGAAATAGGATGCATAAGTAAGGATACTTGTGACGATCCAATAGCAATCAATCGGTATGATTGGTGATGAATTATGAGAGGATGATTTTGCAAGCTCAACAACATAGTCAGTCAAATGTAAGATTGATTTTATTAAATCTTTAACCATTGGCAGAAGTTGACTTTCACGCCCATTGAGAATTGGCAATTTGCCTGAAATCCCTTTGGACGGTGAAAAAGGCTGAATTCTCCAAAATAGAGGGAGAAAGATGTCAGCATAATCAAAAGCTTGCCTTCCCATGAAAATGTGAACAACATTTTCAGAAAATATAATACAATCGACTGTGGATCTACATTTTTTGAACACATCAATGACATCTGAATAAAGTAAGAAAATTTTAAAATTATTAAAAAAATCTTTACGTTAACTACTTATCGTATCATTAAATTGTGATACTATTTTACAAAGAATCATGAAAGTTAGGCATTTACTATAAAATTTTCTAATTAAATTATAGTATGTGGAGAATAATTGCATATTTATAAAGTTACTATTATTATAGCATATATAATTGAACTATAATTTTTTCTTCAAATTAGAGAATTACCTCAAAGGAAAACTGTTTTAATTGAAAGGGAACTTCCATGTCTTTAGCAATTCCCCCTCGCTGTCAAATTCCGTCGCATCATTAGACATTTTGCCATAATCAGACTCGTCACCATTTGAGTCTTCCTCTTCAGATTTTGTTAGTCCCGGTAGGGTCGAAAGAGAGTTTAGAGGGGAGGTGAATAGACTATAATCGATTTTTCAGATTTAACTCCTTTCGTGGTTATGCACAGCGAAAATTGTGTTTACATTTTAGTTTGAACTTTGCACGGTTTTAATATGAAAGTTTAGGGTCGAAAGAGAGTTTAAAGGGGAGAGTGTATGTCTGGCAGAGTATTGGGGAACTGAGGAGTGCCCTTATCACAACCCTGAAGGCTCATCTCTTCATGACCCATGATAGAAACATTTGGTAGTGAAGGATTATAGGCCTGTTCTTCAGAGATGATTGACTGGTCATTCTGCTCAGCCATAGGGAATTGGTTCTCGTAGAAGATTACATCACGAGACACCAATGTAGACTCATTGATTAGATCATATAATAGATAACCTTTCACTCCGGCGGGCATTCCAATCAGGACGCATTTCTTGCTTCGAGCATCCATCTTATGGCGAGAAGGAGATACGTTTGCAGCATAACATAGGCAACCGAGTACTCTGAGGTTACTGAGATCTGGATCCTTTCCATGTAACCTGTGGTATGGAGTAGACCACTCCAACACTGCAGATGGTAGTCTATTAATCAGATAAGTAGCATGAACCACACAATGTCCCCAGAATTCAAGGGGAAAATTAGCTTGAAAACGAAGTGCACGAGCCACACTCAAAATATGCTGATGTTTACGTTCAACGATGACGTTTTGTTGAGGGGTGTATGCACAAGACCTCTGGTGGATCGTGCCATTCTCAGCAAAGAAGCTTTCCATGTTAAACTCTAGCCCGTTGTCACTTAGTACTGTCTTTATGGGCATGCCAAATTGAGTTTGAATGAGTTTATAAAAATCCCTCATCTGATTGCGTGTTTCTGACTTGCTTTTCATCAACCTTAACTAGGTAAATCTTGAATAATCGTCAACTATGGTTAAGAAGTATCTCTCTCCTTGTAGTGACTTAACTTAGAAAGGGCCCCAAATGTCTACATGCACCAAATCAAAGCAAGCACCTGAAGTAGTTCTGCTTACTGGAATGGACTCCGTTTGTGTTTTGCAAACTGACACACATCACAAGCCAAATCCCTTTTATTTGAATTAGGAATGTCACAAAGTAAGTGAATCTTATTAAAGGGATAGTGCCCCAAACGTTGATGCCAAAGACCAACACTACACTGCAAGACAAATTGATTACAAGAATTAACAGGAGGTCTACTTAGCATATATAGCCCTTTCTCCTCCTCAGCAAATCCAGTCATCTTCCCATGGTCCCTCAGATAACACTGGCCAGAGGCAAACATTAGTGAATAGGATGAGTTTTGCAATAACTTGCTAACAGAGACGATATTGAATTTAAATGATGGGATATGCAACACTTCTCTCAGTTATATGCCATCAGCTAATTTAATGATTCCCACATGTTCCACAATAACGTGATCACCATTAGGTAGATTAACTATCATCCCTTGAATAGTATAATTCATGAAAGAAATTGATGGAACATGCTATATGATCAGTAGCCCCTGAGTTTAGGATCCAAGTTGAGGAAGATAGACTAACAGAATTAATGCAAGATAAGTCAGAACACTTGCCTGCATTGCTGCTGTCAGACTTGTTAAACTTTGGTATGAGAGACACTGTTGCTGCTGTAGTAGAAGCTTGGCCTTCTCCTGCTTGAGCTTGAAGGAGTGAGATGAGTTTTTGAATTTGGTCAGTGGTAACAATACCATCAGAGTTCAGGCTAACTGCAGCTGCTTGTTGTTTTCCTTTCGACTTATAGCCTGGGATCCACCCCGGTGGATATCCATGCTTTTTATAGCATTTCTCGATGGTGTGCCCAGTCATACCACAGAACACGCACTTAGCAGTTTTGTTTCCACCTCCCGTATTGAAGTTTTTCTTGTTGTTGAAGTGACTAAACGCTGCAACTGTCTCATCAGTGGAACTCTGGGCAGTTTGTGCTACGTTTGCATGGCTGATCTCCAAGCCTCCAATGCTTAGATTAGTGATGCTCAATTGCCTCTCATATTTCTCAGCCATGACGAAGATCTTATATATGCATTTCAGGTAGTGGATCAAGGACAAGCACACTGGATTTTAGAGAATTATAGTCCTCGTTGAGGCCTTGCAAGAATCGAATGATCTGATCTGTTTCCCGATCTCTTCTGATTTCATCCACCAGATCGCAACTACATCGCGGCTCACACTTACAGACCGGTAACGGTCTCAATGAGTTCATTTCCTCCCACAACGTACGGCATCTAGTGTAGTAATCGTTCACTGAGAGAGCTCCTTGTTTCAGATCATATATATCACTCTGCAAAATTGAGATCCTATGTGGATCTCGTTAGGAAAACCGTCTTCGCAGATCATTCCAAATGTCCTTACATTTATCCATATATATCACGCTTTGTGCTATCGACGGATGAAGAGATTGTAGAATCCATGAGCAAGCGATCAGGTTGCATCTCCTCCATGTCGGATACTGAGGATGACTCTTTTTCGGCGTTGCTACGCTTCCGTCGATGAGTCCCCATTTGTTTTTGACCTCAAGTGCTACTCGCATAGAAATACACCAGGATCCGTAGTTTCCACTGTCTGTGAGTGGAGGACTTACGAGAATCGCATTAGGATTCTCATTAACGCTAAGATATAGGGGGTTTTCAATATCGTCGGAGATGTTCCTCTGCAGAATGGAGTTCTGTTGCAGAACAGCTATCGGAGGGCTATGAACTGGAGCTTGGCTGTTCGGCGGTCCCTGGTTGGACTCTCTGGTGCCGGAGAGTACTGCGGCGTAGCTGGTTGGCCGCAACTCTGATACTATATTGGATTCAGAGTGGTAACATGAAAATAGGTTGAGAGAGTTGAAGGTAGGTTGAGAGAGTTGAAGATGGTAACTGTTTCATTAGTTTGTTATGAGGAATATGTAGAGAATATATACAGAGGAAAGGGAGGCGGGAAAAGGAGTTGTAACAACTTAATCATCATTTACAATAAAGTCTTTGGCTCTCGTTCTTCTTGTTCATCCGATCCTCTGCTATGTGTCAACAATGTCAGATAAATCAATGCACGAAAGTAAAGAGAGATGGAGAGAGAGATTTTTATAGTGGTTCGGCTATTAACAAAGCCTACTCCGATCCACTCTTCTTTCACAACTTCTGAAAGGGTTTGCATTATCACTCCTAATACAAACTACTCAAGCTAGCTTCCTTGATCACTAAGTCGGACAACTACTTGAAAGGTTTTTCAACTCCTAGAGTTTACTCCGCCTCTATCAACTTCTTCTTCAGAGTTGAGTGTTGGATGAATTTGATGTGTTTCTCCAACTGCTTGAAGTCTTGACTTGATGGTTGGATGAATCTTTTCTTTTAAAGATGCAAGACTTCCTTGGTGAAAGTGAAGGCTAAATCTGGATGAGCTTCTTTGAAAACTTCACAATCACACACACTGGTTTTAAAAAGCTTGTAAATGAACTTTGTTTGAAGAGCTTTTCTTAGATAGAATCAGTTGAATAACCAGCCCATTCTTCAGTGGTGAAGAAATGTATTTATAGGTGAGAAAAATTTCATCCGTTGAAGGGAGATAAAATTTCGAACCTATTAACCATCGTGTAATATCCATTGGGCATGGAACATTTATTGCGGTTGTACTGTGTAGTCATTGAAGTCCAAAAGCATTGTAGCTTTTTCCTTTGACAAAAAGTATTAATCATTTAATGTTCCTTGACTTTGTGAGTATAATTCATAGGACTTCTTTTGTCTAGGATGATTGCCCACTGAGAGACATAGACAACATTCTCTTTGCTCATGTATTAAATTTGTCTACCTGCATGGGCAGCTAGTGGCAGACAAGCATGAAATTTCATATATTAGAAAAACATATACTCCGTAATAATCTTCATTATTTTTTAGGAAGAAAAAACTAACAAATATATTTTCAAAATATATATTTGATGCTAACTAATCAACTAGGCCAAAATTAATAGAACTTTGACACCAAATGTTACATATACATATAATTTAACATAGTTGGTATCCTCTGAGTTGTGAATTTCAAGACCGGAACATTGGGAAGATGATTGGTTGTACTAAAATGATAAGTGAACTAGGCTAGTTCTAGTGGTAGACCACCTAACTTAAAGCCAGCAGTACAGTGACAGGATAAGAATAAGATGAATCTCATATACTCCATTGTTATTCTTCCTCTCTTTGTATATTAATTATTACATAATGAGAAACCTTAAATATTATGTAACTGAAACCAAACAAACCTACTAAGCATAACATATTGTAAGAAATTGAATTGAATGTACAAGTTTAACTTTCATATACATATGTAAATACAACAAGTGTCAATATCAACTAAGTATATTCTAATCGGAATCCACAAAGTCGAAACCCTCATCATCAACTATGTCATGGTGGCACCTAAAAGTGACAAATTTTTGCATATTCTGATAGCACTGGGGGCAATTTACAATCTCTGGAACTTTGTCAAAATTACATGGATAGTCAAGAGCACAACAAGGATGATGTTTTGAAGCATAAATAGAAGTAAGCATCTCATGTTGATCTTTGAATGCGTGATCAAAGCCTTTGGCTATTGCATTCTCCTTCCAATTCTCATATTCATTCATGACTGTCAACATTTTATCTCCCAAGTCACATACAACTATCTTGTTACCTTTGCACAACATAGCCCATCCGTCAACTGCTAAATCTTTAGCTTCAAAGACTAGCAACTTTTTTAGTCCTACCACAATTTCATCATGATCTTCATCACAATAAGTTTGATCTAAAAATTTGATCCTTGATATGAGTGTGCTTCGAAGACGTGCCCAAGTAAACCTTCTATGCATGGCCCATGCCGCATCACAAATGTCGTCTCGAAGAATCGCTGATCCAACTTTCACATTGCGACCAATGTAGGTGATCATAATTGTGAGTTGTGGGTTTAAAGAAACTACTTGCATTACCTTGGAAACGAATGCTTTAACCCATTTTAAGTCATTCCCTCCAATCAAGAAAATGTACTTGTTCTCATCAATCTAATAAATTAAAATAAGTTAGTGCTATAAAACTATTGCTCGTATAAAATTTAAGCAAAAAAAAACTAAGAATATATAATAATTTAGTCTGTTTTGTTAAAGAATTCACAAGTAGGAAGGAATTCAAACAACAAATAATTGAGTCTTCAAAGTTTAAAATGATAATGCGTGCTTATTGGCTCGATCTGTTGGGTAGAGCTTATTTTAAACTATAAATAAGGCATAAACACTATTTAGAAGCGTGTCAAAATAAGTTAGTAGTTACTAACTTTAAACTTTAAACTTTAAACTTTAAACTAATTTATAGGATAGGGATGATGAAATTGGACGTACCCACTGGGTCACTGGTTCGTACCATCCCAGCACAAGCTTAGTGCACCAAATTTCTAACTTCCAGAGATCTGTTTCTCTTTCACTTGTGTAAATGTTGCTATAAACCTACTCATTATTAAATAAATATACAATTAATTAAGTTGGATAGTAATTCTATATATGATGCTACCAATTCAAAATTGTAAATGAATAACATACATTAAAATAAAACATATACGGTGGTACGTACCGGATTTTGTATTTGCTTCTCCATCTCATCCAACTCATCAAGCATTAGTATTTCCATTTTGGCTGCGATTTCTTCTAATTTCCCATCAATTTCAGGCACCAAACTCCTTATTGCCAACGTCCTATCCTTCAACACATTCTGTAACAAAGGAATTATACTATCTCCAGTCTTAATTCCAGTGTCAAACCCTTCCATAATATCCATATATCTCATCAATATCATGTGCATTGCGTTATGGTGAACAATCCTTCCTTGGTGATCCACTGAAACAATGATAGGCTCACCCCCTCCCCCTATTTGGAACAATTTCTCTTTAACAAACCGCACAAACCCTGGTGCTACTAATTTCTGTACATTTTTCACTGAAAGTAATTCTCCTTTATTTACTAATCTTCTATACTGTACTTTCATATGTCTAATATCCCATAGTATAGGATAGTCTAATATGGGAATCCAAAGTACACGCAACTTAGTTTTTCTTTGTAATTCTTCAAAAATCAGAATCAAGTACTCCTCAATGTCAAGACTTGACGATATTAACAATAGCAAGCTCCTATTCTTTAACGAACGTAATTCTACCTGCAGTTCACAATTTTTTATATACAGTATATATTATATATATTTTTACAATTAACAATCAATTAATCAAAAGAAATTATTAATTGCTCAAATTTAATTTATGGCTAAGTGAGTAAGCTCATACTATACCATTTCTTCCGTATCACCATCATATATGATGAGTTTCTGTTTCCCACCTTTCTGGACATTGAATAATAACTTCAAAACATCCAAATTAGAAGTGAAGGGGATTGGATTCTCATCAAAGAATGCATGACATAATGCATTATAAGAATCCACTTCTCTCTTTTCTTCTGCATATATCAATTCAAGTACTCGTTAATTTAAACTCACTACAAGTAATAATAACTAACTTTAATTTCCGGCCTATACTTGAATTTATTGAACCTAACCTAGTATCGGGCAGCATTCAGAGATTACGTCTTTGATTTTGACAGCTAAACTAGAAAGTCGTGTTTCTTCGGCTATAAAACACCTACAATAATAACAAAAACAATAATGACAAACACTATATTCATACATATTGATTATATATTTATAATCAATGTTTATCGAAGTTATTTAAAACATATTATAATAAATTGTATAGTGAAATTAAATCTTACCCTGAATGCATATTCATAAGGCCAGAAGTGAAATAGGATGCATAAGTAAGGATACTTGTGACGATCCAATAGCAACCAATCGGTATGATTGGTGATGAATTATGAGAGGATGATTTTGCAAGCTCAACAATATACTCAGTCAAATGTAAGATTGATTTGATTAAATCTTTAACCATCGGCAGAAGTTGACTTTCACGCCCAGTGAGAATTGCCAATTTGCCTGACAATCTCTTGTGACCGTGAAAAAGGCTGAATTCTCCGAAATAGAGGGAGAAAGATGCCAGCATAATCAAAAGTTTGCCTTCCCATGAAAATGTGGACAACATTTTCAGAAAATATAATACAATTGAGTGTGGATCCACATTTTTTGAACACATCAATGCCATCTGAATAAAGTAAGAAAATTTTAGAATTATTAAAAAACCTTTACGTAAACTACTTATTGTATCATGAAATCATGATTCTTTGTAAAATAGTATCATGAAAGTTAGGCATTTGTTATAAAATTTTCTAATTAAATTATAGTATGTGGAGAATAATTGCACATTTATAAAGTTACTGTTATTATATTATAGCATATATAATTGAACTATAATTTTTTTCTTTAAATTAGAGAATTACCTCAAAGGAAAACCGTTTTAATTGAAAGGGAAGTTCCATGTCTTTAGCATATTGCCCCTGGCTGTCAAATTCCTTCTCATCATTAGACATTTTGTCATCATCAGACTCGTCGCCATTTGAGTCTCTCTCATCAGACTTATTGCCATTAGAGTCTTTCTCATCAGATTTGTCGCCATTAGAGTCTTTCTCATCAGACTCGTCGCCATTTGAGTCTTCCTCATCAGACTCGTCACCAGTAGAGTCTTCCTCATCAGACTTGTGACCATTAGAGTCTTCCTCATTAGACTTGTCAGAATTGTCGCCATTAGAGTTTTCCTCATCAGACATGTTAGACTCTTCCTTATCAGAATCTTCATCTTCATCAATGCTATCTCCAATCTAAATCATATATCATCCAACCAAATATATAGACCAAAACACAACAAACTCATTAAAATCCAATTAAGTTATCATGCATGAAATCCGATCCATATATAAATCATCCTTCGGAATGTTATTTATTTATTTATTTATTTATTTTAGTGATTTATAGTGAAATTATATTATTATTATTTGTAAATGATGATTAACTCTATATACTATAACATAGAGAATAAATTGCCACCTAACAACCAAGTTCTTGCCTCATTCAATATAACATATATATTTTTTTTGAAAGTTATTGACTCTATTACATTGTAGTATCTGTTCATATACTTTCTCAACCTACTGAAACACAAAGAATCAATAACGCCTCCACTGAGGCTTGAACTCATAATCTTCCAAATGGAAGTCCAACCCGGGTACCATTAGACCACATAGTCCTGGTCAATATAACATATATAAAGATTTAAAAAGTTAGAATTCGATAAAACATGCATGAAACTTATATGTACCATACAACTTCTAACAAATATTTGATATATATATATATATATAATATATGTACTAGATCTTACTCGTACAAAATAAAACTTGAAGTTTAACATCAATGTAAATTAATAATAAATACACAAACCATGGTAGGATAAAGAATGCTCTTCACCAAATCGAAGATAACATTAATTTTAAAATTTTCTTTGCCATCAGGATCATGTGTACTCATAACTTCTTCCAAGATAACACTTTCATTTATGTGTGAAGTTGCCATCTTTGATAGAGAGACAAAGGCTGGATTGCAGGATTTTGGCCGGGAAAGATCAGAGCAGAGAAAATGTTGCTGGTTTGTGAATAAATTGTGTAGCTAACCTCTTATATTTATAGCATTAAAAATGGAATAGGATAAAATGGGACAATTCTTTGCTTCAATTGCGAGCAAATAAGTGGAATCAATTTATTTATTTGCTTTAACTATATAGTGTAACATTTATTTGCATTAGCACTGCTCACAGACTGGTGACAAATTAAATGTCCTTCAATAATTCATATATATTTTAAAAAGCATCATATCCCTTCATGCTTTAGCACTGCTCACAGACTCACAGTGGGCTTATTTTCAGAGTGCAATTCAAGCTGCTTAAATAAAAGAGGGTGAGGAAAGAATATAACTTTAATTTCTTTAAAGTAGAGGGTGACGAAGAAGTTTGTGTAGGAGGAACTAATTAAGTGAAAAAAAAAAAAAAAAAAAAAAAAAACTAAACAAAGTTGCTACTATTGTAAAACTTAACGAATCAAAAATAAGGTAAAAATTTGTGTGAGATCGTTTTACGAATTTTTATCTATGAGACGGGTCATGTCAAGATGAAAAAGTAAATTTTTAAAGAAAAAAAATAATACTTTTACATTTTGACTTAAAAGTATTACATGCATTTTTTGTATTGCATTTTCTCTTATAATTAAGTAACAAATACGTTATTCTTAATTAGTATTACATTATCCAGTATATTTATTACATTTTCATCTTGACTCAACCCGGACTGTCTCACAAATCAGGATCCGTAAGACGGTCTCATCACATGATAGATACTCAAAAATAAAGAGTGACTCTCTTGTGAGACTGTCATGGATCCTTATTTGTGAGACGAGTCGGGTCAAGATGAAAAAATGTAATATATATATTGAACAATGTAATCCTAATCAGAAATAAAGTAGCATTTGTTACTAATCAGAAAAAATGTAATATGTATATTGAACAATGTAATCCTAATATGTATATAGCGGCTGCTGCAATCAACGACAAGGATTCCGTGGAAACTTAAGAATGCTATTCACTATGTTCTCTCCTGTCTAGGCTCGTGGGGCTCCACAATCAGACATGTTTATCGTGAGGCTGACACTCTAATAACAGATGGTCTTAGCGCTAGATCTTCTCAGATTTTTTGTTCTATCAATTCTTTGTCGGAAAAAGCCAAATTGACTTCGCCACCCTTTGGACTATTTGTCATTAATAAATGATACCTTTTTATGATAAAAAAAATAAAATAAAATAAAATTTAAGGCTCTGCTTCGCAATAGTCATATTGTAGCAATTGATCTCATTTGCTTTAATCTAACCAATGTTACGGTACGGTTTTCATGCAGCTGCCGCTGTCGCTAGTGTAGAAATCATTCCATGAAATAGATTATTTTTCTATTATTTGGTTCAACTTTTACTTTAGAGAATAAAACTTCCAAGACTCCGTTAGTCTCAACATGTTATTGTGAGACAGACATTGTTAACATACAGGATGCCTGTCTGGAAAGATATCAGAGCATTGAGTGGGCTTAGGGTGTTTGCAAATAGAGATTTTGATAAATTACTCGTATTTGTGTTCGATAAGCGTTTGTTTATGTTTATTTATTAAGGTAAATGAACAGAAATTGAATGAGTAAATCTAAAAATTGAGAATCAATTGTAATTACAAAGTGAAATCTTCCTTTAGATGTTTCAAATGATGATGGATTCCAACGTAGAATTGTTTAGGAAAGGTTCTATGAGGAACAATCTAGAGAGAGAAACTGAAAAATGAAAAGTGATCACCAAATAATTGTTCCAAAATATTTATACTTGAAAATCATGCCAAAATAACCACCTGGAGATCGCCTACTGGACGCCTAATCACAATCGTGAGTCGTGACCACGCCCAGTGCTTTACAGATTGCAAGGGTCACGATGACCTTTCGTGAAGGTCTTCGTGACCCTCCGAACTAGCTCTTAGACCTTAGGGCATCACACTGATTGTCACGCCGTGACCACTAGAGTGACACTTAGGATCTGCAAGGTGACCTAGTAAGTCACAATGTAGGTCACGGCGTGACAGGCTAGGCCACATTGCGGATGATTAGGTCGTCATGTTGCTGATCACAGCCTGACTATCAGTGTGACGACTAATCATCTGAAAGCTTGCTAGTGTGTCACGGTAGAGTTCACGTCGTGAACTCTATCGTGACACCCATTCAGCGGCACTTTTGGACGTCGTACGTGTCTTTGCTCCCTTGCTCCGTGCCAACCTCTCGAGCCTCCGTTTTGTCACTTTTTACCTTAAACTCTTCCAAAAACATCCTCTGATCTTTTCCAACTCATGCATGCCTAGGCCCAATCTTTCATTCCTACAATCAAAAACACCTCAAAGTAAACCTTGTTCCACCGCACTTACCTACACTCAAGAAAAATTAACTCACAATGAAGCACAATTATGAGTCATTCCATGGCTTATCAATTATGTAACTGCAGGAACCAAACAAACTGATCGACTGAGCATAACATATATATTGTAAGAAATTGAATTGAATGTACAAGTTTAACTTTCATATACATATGCAAATACAATAAGTGTCAATTTCAACTTAGTATATCCTAATTAATAAAAATCCTCATCATCGGAATCCACATCATCAACTATGTCATGGTGACACCTAAAAGTGACAAATTTTTGCATATTGTGATAACACTGGGGACACTTTACAATCTCTGGAACTTTGTCAAAATTACATGGGTAGTCAAGAGCACAACAAGGATGATGTTTTGAAGCATAAATAGAACGGCTAAGCATCTCATGATGATCTTTGAACGCTTGATCAAAGCCTTTGGCTATTGCACTCTCCTTCCATTTCTCATATTCATTCATGACTGTCAACATTGTATCTCCCAAGTCACATACAACTATCTTGTTACCTTTGCACAACATAGCCCATCCCTCAACTGCTGAATCTTTAGCTTCATAGGCTAGCATCTTTTTTAATCCTTCCACAATTTCATCATGATCTTCATCGCAATAAGTTTGATTTAAAAATCTGATCCTTGATAAGAATATGCTTCGAAGACGTGCCCAAATAAACCATGAGCCCACAGCTGTGGTCGGTGCTTCACAAATGTTGTCTTGAAGAATCGTTGATCCAACTTTCACATTGCTACCAAGGTAGGTGATCATAATTGCCAGTTGTGGGTTTAAAGAAACAACTTGCATTACCTTGGAAACGAATGCTTTAACCCATTTTAAGTCATTCCCTCCAATCAAAAAAATATACTTGTTCTCATTAACCTAATAAATTAAAATAAGTTAGTGCTATAAAACTATTGCTCTATAAAATGTAAGCAAAAAACGAAGAATATATGATAATTTAGGAAGCATCCCCATTACATTCAAAAAAAAAAAAAAGGAAGCATCCCTATTAGTGTGACAAATTGAGGTCAAAGTATCTATGAGGTTCCCGTACTATAGTGTTTTGTTCAATTTAGTCCTTCTACTTTAATTTTGTTTATATCAGTCTCTATACTTTAAAAATTGAAACAATTAAGGACAATAGCTTATGTGGGCAAATATTTATGTATTTATTTTGGACATATTAATGTAATATATTGGTAGTAAAAGTAATTAATTTTAAATATTTATAAAATAATATATGAGTTGGCATGTAAGTATGATGATATGGCAAAGATAATGCCAGCACTATATAAGCTATTGTTCTTAATTGTTTCAGTTTTTAAAGCACAATGACTAAATTGAACAAAATTAAGGTAGAAGGACTAAATTAAACAAAACACAATAGTACATGGATCTTATAGATACTTTGACCGACAAATTGAATAGGAAGGAATTCAAACCACAAATAATTGAGTAAGTGCTCAAAGTTTAAAATGATAATGCGTGCTTATTGGTTCTATTGGGTAGAGCTTATTTTAAACTACAAAAAAAGCATAAATTCTATTTAAGTTATGTATACCAAACAGAGCTTATAGTAGCGGTTAATCGACATATAGGGCAGGGATGATGAAATTGGACGTACCAACTTGATCACTCCTTCGTACTCTCCCATCATAAGCTTAGTGCACCAAATTTCTAACTTCCACAGATCTGTTTCCCTTTCACTTGTGTAAATGTTGCTGTAAACCTACTCATCATTAAATAAATATATAATTAATTAAGCTGGATAGTAATTCTATATATCATGCTACCAATTCAAAATTTTAAATGAATACGCGTACATATATGACTTAACTAACTAATAAAACATACATTAAATTAAAATAAAACATATACCGTAGTACGTACCGGATTTTGTATTCGCTTCTCCATCTCATCCAACTCATCAAGCATTAGTCTTTCCATTTTACCAGCAATTTCTTTTAATTTCCCATCAATTTCAGGCACCAAACTCCTGATTGCCAACGTCCTATCCTTCAACACATTCTGTAACAAAGGAATTATACTATCTCCAATCTCAACTCCAGTATTAATCCCTTGAACAATATCTATAAATATCATCAATATCATGTGCATTGCGTTATGGTGAACAATCCTCCCTTGGTGATCCAGTGACACAATGATAGGCTCACCCCCTCCCCCTATTTCGAACAATTTCTCTCTAACAAATCGCACAAAGCTTGGTGCTACTAATTTCTGTACATTTCTCACTGAAAGTAATTCTCCTTTATTTACTAATCTTCTATACTCTACTTTCATATGTCTAATATCCCATAATATAGGATAGTCTAATATGGGAATCCAAAGTACACGCAACTTAGTTTCATTTTGAAAGTATTTAAATATCTTAATCAAGTACTCCTCAATGTCAAGATTTGACGATATTAATAATAGCAAGCTCTTATTCTCCAACGAACGTAATTCTACCTGCAGTTCACAATTTTTTATATACAGTATATTAGTTTATATTTACAATTAACAATCAAATCAATAGCAATTATTAATTGTTCAAATTTACGGAGTTATAAGCTCATACTATACCATTTCTTGCTCATCACCATCATATATGATGAGTTTCTGTTTCCCACCTTTCTGGACATTGAATAATAACTTCAAAACATCCAAATTAGAAGTGAAGGGGATTGGATTCTCATCAAAGAATGCATGACATAATGCATTATAAGAATCCACTTCTCTCTTTTCTTCTGCATATATCAATTCAAGTACTCGTTAATTTAAACTCACTACAAGTAATAATAACTTTAATTTCCGGCATATACTTGAATTTATTGAACCTAACCTAGTATCGGGTGGCATTCAGAGATTACGTCTTTGATTTTGACAGTTAAACTAGAAAGTCGTGTTTCTTCGGCTATAAAACACCTACAATAATATATTCATACATATTGATTATATATTTATAATCAATGTTTATCGAAGTTATTTAAAACATATTATAATAAATTGAATAGCGAAATTAAATCTTACCCCGAATGCATAAGGCCAGAAGTGAAATAGGATGCATAAGTAAGGATACTTGTGACGATCCAATAGCAACCAATCGGTATGATTGGTGATGAATTATGAGAGGATGATTTTGCAAGCTCAGCAATATACTCAGTCAAATGTAAGATTGATTTGATTAAATCTTTAACTATTGGCAAAAGTTGACTTTCACGCTCATTGAGAATTGCCAATTTGCCTGACAATCCCTTGTGACTGTGAAAAAGGCTGAATTTTCCAAAATAGAGGGAGAAAGATGCCAGCAAAATCAATATCTTGCCTTCCCATGAAAATGTGGACAACATGTTCAGAAAATATAATACAATCGAATGTGGATCCACATTTTTTGAACACATCAATGACATCTGAATAAAGTAAGAAAATTTTAAAATTATTAAAAAATCTTTAGGTAAACTACTTATTGTATCATGAAATCATGACACTACTTTACAAAGAATCATGAAAGTTAGGCATTTGTTATAAAATTTTCTAATTAAATTATAGTATGTGGAGAATAATTGCACATTTATAAAGTTACTATTATTATAGCATATATAATTGAACTATAATTTTTTTCTTCAAATTAGAGAATTACCTCAAAGGAAAACCGTTTTAACTGAAAGGGAAGTTCCATGTCTTTAGCATATTGCCTCTCTCTGTCAAATTCCTTCTCATCATTAGACATTTTGTCATCATCAGACTCGTCACCGTTTGAGTCTTCTTCTTCATCAGACTTGTTAGAGTCTTCCTTATCAGAATCTTCATCTTCATCAATGCTATCTCCAATCTAAATCATATATCATCCAACCAAATATATAGACCAAAACACAACAAACTCATTAAAATCCAATTAAGTTATCATGCATGAAATCCGATCCATATATAAATCATCCTTCGGAATGTTATTTATTTATTTATTTTAGTGATTTATAGTGAAACTATATTATGAGCAATTATTATTTGTATATATTTAGATATACAATGAAATTGATGAAATTTTGAAAATGTGAAATCACCAGTTTGGTCTCTGGAAGGGTTTAATTGACGAAATTTTGAACAATTGGATGATCAAATAATTGGTTGAAATTGAAAACTATGAACTACATTGATAGTTAGGAAACAATTGAGGGACCAAAATGATGATTAACTCTATATACTATAACATAGAGAATAAATTGCCACCTAACAACCAAGTTCTTGCCTCATTCAATATAACATATATAAAGATTTAAATAGTTAGAATTGGATAAAACATGCATGAAACTTATATGTACCATACAACTTCTAACAAATACTTGATATATATATGTACTAGAACTTACTCGTACAAAATAAAACTTGAAGTTTAACATCAATGTAAATTAATAGTAAATACACAAACCGTGATAGGATAAAGAATGCTCTTCACCAAATCGAAGATAACATTAATTTCAAAATTTTCTTTGCCATCTGGATCATGTGTACTCATAACTTCGTCCAAGATAACACTTTCATTTATGTGTGAAGTTGCCATCTTTGATAGAGACAAAGGCTGGTTTGTCTATTTACTAGGGTAAAGAGAGCTTGCAGGATTTTGGCCGGGAAAGATCAGAGCAGAGAAAATGTTGCTGGTTTGTGAATCAATTGTGTAGCTAACCTCTTATATTTATAGCATTAAAAAAGGAATGGGATAAAATGGGACAATTCTTTGCTTCAATTGCGAGCAAATAAGTGAAATCAATTTATTTATTTGCTTTAACTATATAGTGTAACATTTATTTGCTTTAGCACTGCTCACAGACTGGTGACAAATTAAATGTCCTTCAATAATTCATATATATTTTAAAAAGCATCATATCCCTTCATGCTTTAGCAATGCTCACAGACTCACAGTGGGCTTATTTTCAGAGTGCAATTCAAGCTGCTTAAATAAAAGAGGGTGAGGAAAGAATATAACTTTAATTTCTTTAAAGTAGAGGGTGAGGAAGAAGTTTGTGTAGGAGGAACTAATTAAGTAAAAAAAAACTAAACAAAGTTGCTACTATAGTAAAACTTAACAAACCAAAAATAAGGCCTTGTGTGAGATCGTTTTACGAATTTTTATCTATGAGACGGGTCATGACAAGATGAAAAACTAATTTTTTTTTTTTTTAAAAAAAAATAATACTTTTACATTTTGACTTAAAAGTATTACATTTTTCGTATTACATTTTCTCTTATAAGTAACAAATACGTTATTCTTAATTAGTATTACATTGTTCAGTATATTTATTACATTTTCATCTTGACCCAATCCGTCTCACAAATCAGGATCCGTAAGACGGTCTCATCACATGATAAATACTCAAAAATAAAGAGTGATTCTCTTGTGAGACTGTCATGGATCCTTATTTGTGAGACGAGTCGGGTCAAGATGAAAAAATGTAATACGTATACTGAACAATGTAATACTAATCAGAAATAAAGTATTTGTTACTTATAAGGAAAATATCAATGCTCATATAAAGGAAATCAAGATCATTCAACAAAACTTTAGCCTTTAGGAAACAAGCTAAGAGCTCTTTTGTTTTTGCTTAGAACACACTCTAAATATAAAAGAAACGTGCAAAGAAAAATTGGTTCTGATTTTGTCTATTAGGAATTTACTTTAATTTGCACCATAAATTGTTAAGAGTGAGTACTTCTTTGCCTACCTTAGAAAGGAATTTATATTGCCAAGCTCCAATACGGTTTCGTACCTTTTCCTCGATATACCAAAACGTAGCGGTTTTGTTACGGCCTAAAACCTAAGGGAGACCAAGATAACGGCCCAGATCCACTGCAACATGGACCCCACACACTCGGCCACCAAACTCCTCAACTCAGCAGCAGTATTCGCACTGAAAACTGCACTTGATTTTTCCTGCAAGCGCTGTGAGCATATATCCATTAATGTGTATCCAACTATCAGCTTAGGCTTTTAGTTGAGATGAAGCACATGTTTCAATTTGGTATCAGAGCTAGACCAAAGGTCTTGGGTTCGAATCTCAACGCCACTCATAAGCGACTACGGTTTATCGGTCCACGTGTTGGTTGGAATCCACCGTACACGTGAGGGGGCGTGCTTTTAGTTGAGATGGAGCACATGTTTCAATCTTACCACTTACGCCAAAATATTATACTCCGCTAGTAGCGAATGCGCAACTTTATTTCCTTATACCGCCACACACTTTCGAAACGCTAGGTACTGGACTTGGCCATTTAAGCCCTTTACTGGCAACTTTATTTCCTTATACCGCCACACACTTTCGAAACGCTAGGTACTGGACTTGGCCATTTAAGCCCTTTACTGGCCTCTGTTCAAAAATCGCCCAGCCACCAGGTCCCTTTACCGACTTTCCACCCAACAATCCCCCAACCACCGAGTGCTAGACTTGACCTTTATAGGCCTTCACCCACAATTCCCCCCCCCCCCCCCCCCCCCCACCCCCCCTCCCAGAACCCATAACCTGACTCTCATACCACCTTTTAGGATCAAGCGCTTACCACTTACGCCAAAAGCCATAGCTAGTAGTGAAGGTGCAACTTTTTTCCTTTACCACATTACCACCACACATTTTTGAGACGCTGGGTACTAAACTTTGCCTTTTAAGCCTTTTTACCTACCTCTGCCTAACAATTCTCCAACCACCGGGTGTTAGCTTCTTATGATTGTAGTACATCTCCTGTAATTTTTTATCCAATTATTTCTTTGCTTGTCAATGCCCGGCTCTTGTTAGATGTGTCAAACGGACGGATTAGCCCAAAGTTCAGTCAAACTCCGACCATTTGGGCCGGCCCGATCTAATCCATTTGCTACAATGAACGAACGAGGGCTAGCCCGCTTTATACTATGGACATGGTTAGGCTTTAATTTTTGACCCATGAACCGGGCCAACCTGCAGGTCCGTCACGTTGGCCAATACAATTTTAAAAATATATAATATACATATATACTTTAATTTAATAAAGTAATGACTGATGCGATCATCACATTAGAAATAGTGATATTGATTTTATGCTTATTAAATTCTTATGTATTTACTACTTATTAAAGTTGTAAATTAATTTTTTTTTTTTTTAAATGACCTTCTGCAGTGCCAGCAAAGTACAAAACATCACTTCTTTAAATTATTAAAAGCAGAGTGTACAACTACAGATTTAGCTTTCAAGATAAGCACACCACAAACATTTCTTTATATAAGATTAATAATTGTTCATAACATAACATAAGATGTATAAATAAAATACATAAACCAAAAAAAAAAAAAAATGCTTTTGATGACAAGTCCAAAATGCAGATCAGAGAGCTTTGACATGTACATACATACAAATACCAATTTAGTTAGTTAAACTTTGAGCTGTTGTTCCTCTTTCCCCACCATTTTTTTCTCATTTTATCACTAACCATTTCTTCATTTCCCTGCAGCTTATGCAATATAACCTTGGTTTCCTTTAGCCTTATTCCATAGTCTTTCTTCCAAGCTTCAAACATTTGTTTGAGCCTTGTGAGCTCGCGGTCAGGATTCAAGTTAGCGTCGACCTGACCTGATTTGACCTCGACCAAGAACTTGGCATCATCATATCGCCGAATACTTGACTCCTTTGCTCAAACTCTTCCACCAGTCGGCTTATTACACTCAGGCCAGCGCTCATAGGCCGAGTGGAGGAGTGATTTTCTGGTTATGATTTTGAATAACATTGAAGTACGTTTGTTATAATAGAAGATTAAGCAGGCCTCCTGGCAAGGTGTAATGATCAGACATGAGCTCTGCTCATTAGGATATAGTTTTCTATCAGGTAAATGACACATTTAGAATCTGTTTGGAAACTCAAAAAATGACTTCCAGATTTTTAGTGTTTTGTACACAAAGAAAATGAAGTCAAAGGAAAATGTTCATTCTAGTCAAAGGAAAATTTATCTAATTTGGTGGAAAATGTCTTCCTAATTTTTTAGTTAGAAGACATTTTCACCACCACCACCACAGACTAGCTTAAGCCTTAAGTGGTAAAACATCTTACTTAAAGTAGCACTCCATTGTTATTCTTCCTCTCTTTTTATATTAATTATTACTTAACTAGACCAAACAAACTATTTTCGAAAAAAAAAAGATCAAACAAACTGACTCAGCATAACATATATTGTAAGAAATTGAATTGAATGTACAAGTTTAACTTTCATATACATATGCAAATACAGTAAGTGTCAATATCAGCTAAGTGTATTCTAATTGGAGCCCTCATCATCAAGTATGTCATGGTGGCACCTAAAAGTAACAAATTTTTGCATATTGTAATAGCACTGGGGACACTTTACAATCTCTGGAACTTTGTCAAAATTACATGGGTAGTCAAGAGCACAACAAGGATGATGTTTTGAAGCATAAATAGAACGACTAAGCATCTCATGATGATCTTTGAACGCTTGGTCAAAGCCTTTGACTATTGCACTCTCCTTCCATTTCTCATATTCATTCATGACTGTCAACATTGTATCACCCAAGTCACATACAACTATCTTGTTACCTTTGCACAACATAGCCCATCCATCAACTGCTAAATCTTTAGCTTCATAGGCTAGCATCTTTTTTAGTCCTTCCACAATTTCATCATCATCTTCATCACAACAAGTTTGATCTAAAAATTTGATCCTTGATAAGAATGTGCTTCGAAGACGTGCCCACATAAACCATGACATCATAGGTGTGTCCGATGTCGCATCACAAATGTTGTCTCCAAGAATCGTTGATCCAACTTTCACATTGCTACCCATGTAGTTGATCTTAATTGTGAGTTGTGGGTTTAAAGAAACTACTTGCATTACCTTGGAAACGAATGCTTTAACCCATTTTAAGTCATTCCCTCCAATCAAGAAAATGTACTTGTTCTCATCAATCTAATAAATTAAAATAAGTTAGTGCTATAAAACTATTGCTCGTATAAAAATTATTAAGCAAAAAAAAACTAAGAATATATGATAATTTAGTCTGTTTTGTTAAAGAATTCACAAGTAATCAAAGTTTAGTGTGACCAATTAAATAGGAAGGAAATCAAACAACAAATAATTAAGTGAGTGCTCAAAGTTTAACATGATAATGCATGCTTGGCTCTGTTTGGTAGAGCTTATAACTTATTTTAAATTATAAATAAAATATAAATTATATTTGGTAGCCGTTTCAAAATAAGACCTGTGTGGGCCACCAAATACGCCAACCTCATCTTTAAAAGTTTTTAATAAGAGTTCCTTTTTTTGAAAAAAAAAAAAAAAAAAAAACTCTTAGTTTTCAACTTTAAGCTACTTTTATATATATATATATATATATATATATATATATATATATATATATATATATATATATATATATATAGGCGAGTTTAGGTGCGGCAGTGTCTTACGGTGCGGCGATTTTTTACGGTGCGTCAACACCAATAGTTCAACAAATATGCACCATCAAAGTTAATTATGAAAATACACCACACAAAACAGAGTAAACAGAGCCCTGCATCACCAAACACACACCATTAGGTGTGAGTAAAAACACCATGCACTGTTCGGAAATACACCATTGGGGGTGGTGAGTTATATGATGTATTTTTTTGAGTCTGTTGTGTATTTTGTGATGTTTTATTGCATTTCATTTTATTGTGGTGTGTTTTTATTACACTGTTGGTGCATATTGTTAACACTGTTGATGTATTCTGGAATTCCGTTGCACCGCCGTACGGGAAGACCCCGCCGCATTTGAACTTTATTATATATATATATATATATATATATATATATATATATATATATATATATATATATGTATGTATGTATGTATGTATGCCCATATATAGTAGCAGTTAATCGAGATATAGGGCAGGGATGATGAAATTGGACGTACCCACACGGTAAATTGATCTAACGCTTGCAGCACAAGCTTAGTGCACCAAATTTCTAACTTCCATAGATCTGTTTCCCTTTCACTTGTGTAAATGTTGCTGTTAACCTACATACTCGTGTCATTAAATAAAGGGAAATTCTATTTGCACCACCCTAATTGCTATTTACATCACCTATTTAATAGGTGTGATAACTTTTAGGTGGTGTAAATAGAAAATTGTTATTTGCACCACATTCATTAATTTTAGTCAAAACATTATTTTTTTTAACAAATATTTATTATAAATGACACCTTTTCCCCTTAGATATATGCTTTTAACACTTTTTCCCTCTTAATTATTCATGTATCCACATTTGCCTCATAGTTATATTAAAAGTGGCATGTTTTCTCCCTTTTATGTTTGATAGGCATTTTTACCCTTAAAACTAAATATTTCATTTGTTTTTTCTTCTCCAACAAATTATTGTTTATATGTATGGATGGTCACGGTTTAATTCTAACAATTTTTTTTTTTTTTATTGTCAGTTCAAAATGTATTTATTTATTATAAATTTTATTTCTTATTTAAAAAAAATAAATTTAATAATTAGTTTATTATATTTTATTTTTTCGGTTCTGAATCGTAAGCAAAGCCAAAGGGAGTTTGTTTTAATTTGCAATCACATGTGTTATATATTACTCTTCTGAACTTCATTCCAGTTAAAAGGGGGAAAAAAGTATTGATTTCTTAGATTTTCGCAGTCATATTGAAGTTGACAATCCATTAAGTTCCAATAGCATTTTGGAGTGTGATTTTATATCTAAGATTATATTTGATTTCTCTTTTTGAGGAATGCACACCTTCATTAGAGGACATATATACTAGTAATCTACATTTACTTTGATTTAACAGCAATTGGTTTTTATATGATTATTATATATAATATGATTAAGCCAACTATAATGTAATATGATGACATTTCAATTACCATTTCAAATAAATGGTCATAGGTTCGAACCTTGAGAGTGGAGCTTAGATTCTTAGGGTTAAAAATGTTTAAGAAAATGTATAACAAATATAACTAATTGTGAAGGCACAACACAACTTTATTTTCTTATACTTACGATTCAAAACCGAAAAAATGAAATAAAATAAAATAAAATAATTATTGAATTTATATTATTTTAAAAATAAGAAATAGAATTTATAATAAATAAATAAATTTTGAATTGGCAATAAAATAAAAAATTGTTCGAAGCGAACCATAATCATCTGTACATATAAACAATAATTTGTTGGAGAAGACAAAATAAATGAAATATTTAGTTTTAAGGGTAAAAATGTTCACCTAACATAAAATGGAGAAAACCTGCCACTTTTAATATAATTGAGGGAGCAAATGTGGATAAACAAATAACTGAGAGGAAAAAAAATGTTATAATCATATAACTCAGAGTGAAAAAGTGTACAATTTTTCCTTAACCGGAAACTTTTAATTCGATTGCTATAGTGTCCGGTTCAGTTAGAATCGAACCGTGGTCATCCCTACGTATACGCAATAATTTGTTAGAGAAGAAAAATAAATAAAATGTTTACTTTTAAGGGTAGAAATGTCAATTTAATATATCGGGGAGGGGGGGGAATCGTCACTTTTAGAATAATTGAGGGGCTAATATGCTAACATGAATTATTCAGGGTAAAAAGTGTTGGGTAATTTGTGCTGAAACAATGCCACGTGAAGCCTGAACAGGAAGATGGTGTGCGACGAAGAACACCAATAGGAATTCGAAACAGATTGGAAATAGAACTCTGTGCCGTGTTTATGAAAACACTACTTTAAAAGCGTAAATTTCCTGGTGACGGTTTCGGCACGCTTTCGACAGGCTACACAGATGTAGTGTTATGCTCACACATGAAAACACAAAGCCATGAATGAATGAAGAAGAGGCTGTCATCGTCCATTTGCTCAATCTGGGAGGAAGTATTTATAGTATATAAAGCTTCAACAACCTTCCTCGCAGACCACATACTCAACGCAATATTAGGGAGAGTGGATAAAGAATGAAGCCACGTCTCTTTTATCTGCGGACAAGGCAGAGAAGATTTCAGACAGATCCAAAATAATAGGAGGATAACTAAGCTTCTTTGAATGGTTTCCAACAATCCCCCCCCCCCCCCCGCCCCCCCCCCCCCCCATTCAAAGGAAGGCTAAGAAAGGAATGTTTGAGCAATTTACTTAAGTTGACCTTAATGTTAATGAATGAGATCTTGAACTAACATGTAGTGACACTGAGTAATTTTCTTCCCAAGAGTGATATGAATCTTGAACTCATTGGTCAGAGAAATTTTGAACTCTAATGCACACATCAACTTTCACAAAATCCCCGTCGTCATGTCTATCTCAATATAAACTTTTTAACTTTCACAAAATTCTCATCATGTCTATCTCAATGACTTTTCAAGTTTCATCAAGTCTATCTCAATATAGACTCTACCTCTGTCAAGTCTATCTCAACATAGACCACCTATTACAGGCTACAGAGTGAATTATGACTATTTATTTCCAAAAACTAGATGTAAGTCTTTCCATGATTTCGTTTGACCATCATAGTGGTGTCTATCATGAATTCCTTACCTCAAAGGTTTTTAACCCATCTCCCTTGATGATTCAAGGATGACCTTCCTATTTAAACTTTTGCTTGTCAACTCTTGTTAGAGGTGTCAAACGGACGGATTAGCCCAAAGATCAGTCAAAGTCCAACCGTTTGGGCTGGCCCAATCTAATCCATTTGCTACAATGAACGAACTAGGGCTAGCCCGCTTTATACTATGGACATGGTTAGGCTTTAATTTTTGACCCATGAATCGGGCCAACCTGCAGGTCCATCACGTTGGCCAATACAATTTTAAAAATATGTAATATACATATATACTTTAATTTAATAAAGTAATGACTGATGCGATCATCATATTAAAAAATAGTGATATTGATTTTATGCTTATTAAATTCTTATGTATTTACTACTTATTGAAGTTGTAAATTAAATTTTTTTTTTTTTTAAAGTGACCTTCTGCAGTGCCAGCAAAGTACAAAACATCACTTCTTTAAATTATTAAAAGCAGAGTGTACAACTACAGATTTAGCTTTCAAGATAAGCACACCACAAACATTTCTTTATATAAGATTAATAATTGTTCATAACATAACATAAGATGTATAAATAAAATACATAAACCAAAAAAAAAAAAAAAAATGCTTTTGATGAAAAGTCCAAAATGCAGATCAGAGAGCTTTGACATGTACATACATACAAATACCAATTTAGTTAGTTAAACCTTGAGCTGTTGTTCCTCTTTCCCCACCATTTTTTTCTCATTTTATCACTAACCATTTCTTCGTTTCCCTGCAGCTTATGCAATATAACCTTGGTTTCCCTTAGCCTTGTTCCGTAGTCTTTCTTCCAAGCTTCAAACATTTGTTTGAGCCTTCTGAGCTCACGGTCAGGATTCAAGTTAGCGTCGACCTGACCTGATTTGACCTCGACCAAGAACTTGGCATCATCACCGAATACTTGACTCCTTTGCTCAAACTCTTCCGCCAGTCGGCTTATTACACTCAGGCCAGCGCTCATAGGCCTCGCTCCTCCACTGCTGCTGTCGCGGTTCCTGTTGCTCCCTGCTGTTTCAATTCCCAAATGGATTGATTCTCTATCGTCACTCATTGTATTGACTGATGCATCGGAGTTCCTCTCCATATCATCCAGAGCAAGGCTCTTCTTCGCAATAGACAGGCTGGATTGCAGCGATCTCATTTGCTTTTGCCAAACCTCTTCCATTGACTTCATTTTCAGCTCGTACTCTGACCAACGGTTTTCATACTGCTGCAGCCTCTGGTGTAGGATGTCATTATCCTCTTCTTTTTCTCTAAGTGCAGCTTCAGCCCTTAAAACGCGGCGTTGTAATTCAGATAGAAATGAGGACTTCACTAGCACCTCTTCACACTCATTACCCTGTATGTATACAATACAAGAAGCTCATCAATCTCACAAGTACAAATTAAAAAGCCAGCCAGCAATTGGTCGGGATTGCAACAGAACTCAGAACTATATATAGGTAGGACTGTACGAGTGACTTTCTGATTATGATTTTGAATAACATTGAAGTTCGTTATAATAGAAGATTAAGCAGGCCTCCTGGCAAGGTGTAATGATCAGACATGAGCTCTGCTCATTGGTGTTCCAAACGCTAAAGCTTAGTATATTCTTCTACACAGTATTGTGCAAATATTGTAGGGAGCTTTAATTTGCACACTTCTGAACATCCCCATGTATTGCACTTTATCCCAATAGGATATAGTTTTCTATCAGGTAAAAGACACATTTAGAATCTGTTTGGAAACTCAAAAAATGACTTCCAGATTTTTAGTATTTTGTACACACAAAAAAATGAAGTCAAAGGAAAATATTCATTCTGGTCAAAGGAAAAATTATCCAATTTGGCGGAAAATGTCTTCCTAATTTTGTAGTTAGAAGGCATTTTCCAAATTCTTTATATTCCATCTTTCTTCCCTCTCTTCTTTTTTAAGTTAGTTTCCGGATTATTATTATTACCACCACTACAACCACCACCAACATCACTGCCACCACTACCATCAACACCAACACCACCACAACTACCACCATCTCCACCACCACACCTCTACCACCACTACCACACCACCACCATCACCACATATTTTTATTTTATTATTATTATTATTATTATTATTATTATTATTATTATTATTATTATTATTATTATTATTATTATTATTATTATATCAAATAATATGTTCATTTTTAAGAAAATGAACCAAACAGAAAAAGATAGTTTTCTGACATTCAGTCAAACACCAGAAAGTTAAAATATTTTCTAAAAAATGAGTCATTTTCTAGAAATCATTTTCCAGGTTTTCAACGGACCCTTAATTCCATAATTACCTTTTTGCCTCCAAACTGTAGCAGCCCTATATCCCCGGAGCATCTTCTGACCAACCACCCACGGATAACTGTAGGAAAAAAAAAAAAAAAAAAAAGAGAATAAATCAACAAATCTGCATCTTCTAGTAAAACGCAGATCATTTTTTATCATTATATACTGTAAACATTAAAGCCAGTGGCAAAAACATCCTTTCTGACAATCCAGGCAAGCCTGGAGTAACTTTTATCTGAGCCTAAATAAAGCCCCAAATGACAGCAATTGATTTGAAATACATTCCATTTGCCATTAAAGATGTCCTACTTGACCATTGTCATCAGATCAGTTTGGTCATAATGGATTAATTTGAATATTTACCTGATTGTATAATGATTGATGCACTATGAACATTTTTGAAGGTCCTCCTGTGAATCTGTCCTTTTATCTGTTTCTGTATACAAACAGCTGCTCTATGTTTCTGTAATGAGATTGCATATTCTCTTCTTGTTTTCTCACCACGAACAACTATGCAGAATTAGTTATGAAGGGATTAGTTCCTTGTACATCAAGATAAAAATTCCAATATTCGATTGAAAGCAAGCTAGCATACATGACTGAAGAGTTGTAACTCCTCTCTTCAAGTGTTTCAGGTAACTACGGGCTTGATGACCTCTAAAGGAGCTTTGAACACGCAAGATACCGTGGAGGGTGCGATTTCTAGTATCCTCAAGCACCCCAACCTGAAATTAATGCCGCAATTAAGTGACTAACCATAATGCAACAACCTGAATGTAGCAATGAAGAATTTCTTGTTCGATCATCAGGTTAATCACACGGACTGAAATGGAGAAAGAGGGAAAGCAAGGATAACTATTTATCTCACCTGCCCTGTTCGGAAGAACAGCTTGGTGTATCCAACCTGATACATATCAGGCAGAATGTTGAACTGATGGAGTATTGCAACTGAGACACTAAGTGGATCTTGTGATGCAACATGGTCCGATAGAAGAAATCCATATCTGATATCATTATATATGACGGCAATTATAAAGATGGTGAAAAATAAAAACTTTAAGATGCTTCACAGTGACAACAACATTCAAGCTTACCTTCTAGCAAACTTTTGATGGGACATTCTAGTAGGAAATCCAGATCTCGATATTCGAACTACTTCTAAGACACCACAACATCGCAGCTGTTGCAATACGAGTCCTTGATCATACTTTCCAGGAGATTGAAAGCTGTTAGGCTTTATACAACGTATAAAATGGGGTGTTGTGCTCTCTAGGCGTTGCATCAATTGGAACAGTTGACCCTAAAAGTACAAATACAACCACAATTTAAATATAATAGCAATCTACACCTGTCCAGAAAAAGGTATAATATTTTTAACGACTTGAATAAAAGGATGAATGAATTGCTCTTACTAAACCTAAAATTTTATTTCTATTACGGAGTATCATTTTTGCACTGTTATTGAACTATAAAATCATTTATCCTAAACAAAATACTGTATGCACTTTATGGTTCAGCAGTTATTTCCACCAAACTGAATAAATAAACCATAGAATTACATGGAGCATAAGTCTATCTGTAAAACAATTGCTCTGCAAGATCTATTATACACCCAGCAGCTGATTACACTTCCATTAAACAACACGAAGCACAGAATACAAGTCTTTAAAAATTTTAACAATAATACAAAAATTAACATTCACTAGTATTTTTTATAAAAAGTTTACAATAAGTAAAAACATTTAAATATCATGATCTTTTTCCTTGACCTTTAATGCTCAAAAGTTGATCATCACAAGCCCAGCAACCATGTTGGTGCTCCATACTTAAAATAATTTAGCGCAAGTAATCGCCAAGATATTTTATGTTTTATAAATCAATTGTAAGTCTGTAATATTACCTTGAACTTTGTGGCAACGCTTAATTTCTGAGAATCTGCTCCCCCTGATTTGTACAAGGGCCCAACAACAGGCTTCTCGCTTTGAGTTAACATATTAGATGCAAATATCTGAGGAAGGTGGCACTTGCAAGAAGATAGAAGTTGAATGGAATCCAAGTGGAGTAAATCACGGTTCTTCTCAAGAAAACCAAATGCGTCATATGTTACCTGGGGAAGAAAGACCACTGAACTTCCAGATTGAAGAAAATAAATGAAATAAAGCTGAACAGTTCTAACAGGTCATTCTGATATTCTCAAAACACACACACATCAGTTGTCTGTAGAAGCACTCTCCAGAAAGTGATATGGCCATGCAGTGCTACATAATATACCAAAGAAAAGCACTAACTAAAGCTCAACTTCAATCATCTTAAATCCTGTATTAAAAGGCCAGGCCTAATGTCCTAAACTCCTACAACATTGCAAGATGGAGAGAAAATATGTATGCCACCCTAACTATATTTTCAGAGACAATTTTCAGGGCTGAACCAATGACCTGATGACAATCAAGGGATAAACTGATAAAGAACTTGAAAGTAAAGGATTATTTTCTTCCCTTTCTTCTGGGAAAGGGTTGAGAGGTCCGCAAACAAGAATTTATCATAGACCTGCATACCTCGCCTGCGTAATGGGATACTGTAAAAGACTTCTCTCGATCGCCTTTGAAACAAGGATTAGAATTTAAATGCTGCTTGAGTTTATTGGCAAATGTCATGTCGGTGCCATTTGGAAAGGTGGACTCCTCATCTAAAAGAGATAACAATCCAAGTGGTTTCTGCCAATAGAGAAATGAAGTTACAAAGAGATCAACTGCATACCTCATATTGAACTACAAATAATACGAAGAGTGTCTTGACAGAAAACATGAAGATCTTAGTTCTCACATCAGTATCAATAATTTCACCCTGTGATACAAAATGAATTTGCCCACATAGTTTTACCAACCTAATGGCAATGCCATGAGTGCTAGAGTCTCAACATGTTATTGTTAACAGGATGCCAGGAATGATGTAACAGAGGATTGTGTGGGCCATCATTTCCATATTATTTGGCAACTTGAGGAATGAGAAGAACAGAACGCAGAGTAAAAATGTTATGCATTCATGACAGCAAATTTCTTAGAAGCAGAACATGGAGTCAGACAATCAGACAAGGCTGGAAAAACAATTAAAAATAATTTAAGTATACAAGATGTTACAGTTTATGTATATAAATATACATGACTCATCATTCCCTAATTATAAGTGTTGTTCTGTAATTTATAAAAATTCAATACTCCATACTATAACTGTTGAAATAAGAAGGATATATTTAGTAATAAATTAATAATATCACAAAATAATTACGGAGTTTTCTAAGCTGTAAATTGTTGAATATTAGGAAACTCCTAGTAGGAGTGGGCTTAGTTTCCTATTCCTATTAGCCTTGATTTAGTCCCCATGTTCCTATAAATATTGGATCCTTATATAGATAGAAGTATAGAGTACACAGAGAGACAATCTATTGTAATCTTTCATTATAATATATTGTTTCTATTCTCTTTTTCTTGGTTTCTCACATATTTTGCTTCGGCCTAACTTGCGGGTGGTTGTTATTCTCCATCCGCCAAGCCTTTCAATCAATCAATTTCAACATGGTATTAAAGCCTACTTTCCTAGGCTATTTTTCTTCCAATTTTTCTGGCAACACCTATTTTTCAGCGTAAACAAAAACCCACGACTATCTCTTGGATTCCGACGTGTCTATGATGGTTTACTTCAAGATCTATCACCACAATCACACTCGGAATCACTTCGCGACCTTGCCCAAGAAACACCGGTGTCATCCGCCACAACACTCGCCCACACGCGCCGTCACAATTGCTTGATCTCCGTTTGGCTTTTCTCAGATCCCCTCTTCTCCAGTGATTTTGTGATCTCACCCCGTACACTGTTAGATTCCTCTCCTCTTTGCGACCTTATCTGGAAAATTTCGTCGTCATCCTACACCATCTCCAGCGTCACGTGCCGTCGCATCCTTCAAGCCCTGACGCATGAGTTCTCCTATGATGTATTTCTCCAGTGAAAATTTTCCAAATTGTTGTTTTGCCCTTCTTTGGACCTTTTCTGGCGAAATTTGAAGGCTTTTTGGGTTTGTTGCCAAACTTCTTTCCAATGTGTTATGGCATAACCGTGTTTGTTTCTTTATCTCCGATATACCATATTTATCCCAAGGGTGTTCAATTTCAGCACTACTATATTTTATTTCTATAAGCCTTTGATTATTTCCCATGTTTCAAGTAAGGGGGAGTGTGACTATTTAAAATCAATCAGTGTTCTATTTTACTTATTTTACTTTCTTTTCCTGGTGTTCTACTTTACTCTTATTCTCATCAATGCCATTGGGTGCGTTATCTTCATCACGTTGCTTTGAGTTTATCTTCATTACTATGGACTCTACTGCATCCTTTGCTATTCTTTGCTCCCTTTCGCCTCTACCACTCTTGATGAAGGGCTTTTTTGGCATGTCCTAGAGTGTTTATGTTGTGTTATCTAGAGGCTATTCATGTTCAACTCTATCCTTGGTGTTCATCTTCATTAAATAATCAAAATCTTAATCTCGAAATATCTACTTAAAAACATTACTAAACCAAAATGTTTATCATAACCCCCCCCCCCCCCCCCCCCCGCCCCCCCCCCCTAAAAATAAATAAATAAAAAAAAGTGATTCAGTACCTTCTCAAAAAGATTTAGGCAATCTTTGTTGTCATCAAAATCGACTTTTGTCCAGTCAATGCCATCTTGGATGTATTCCTGGAAATAAATCCAAATCTCAGATCAAAGTTGACATGGCTATGCAGGCAAGGATACCAAAACTCTATGAATCCATAGTAGAATTCAAAATTTCAAATGCATGTGAACGTGTAGACCCTTAACAAGCACTTCTAATCACACTCTAACTGGTTCTACTTTTAATCATATTGGTGACTGGTTCTACATTTTATTGTGTTAAACACACAGAATATCTCTTTTTCTTGTGTTCTCAAGGATCTAAATGACATCTATAAATCAGCATGCTTCATCCTTTTATGAGTTTATCAAATGAGTGAAATTTAATATGATAAAACTAAGTTGGTGAGATCCAAAGAGAGTCCTTGAACAGTAAGATAACTCCAAGAGAACTTGAAGCCGTGAAGGTGCTAACCGATATAGAAACAAAATGAAAATAAAAATTCCAAAAAGTTCCTACATTTACAAACCATCCATTAGAAAAAGCAAAAAAAAAAAAAAAAAAAAAAAAAAAAAAAAAAAAAAAAAATCCTTCACGTATGATTTTCATATTTTGAATAATATGGATTACCATATTAGATTATTAGTTCTGTAGAATGATAAAATTCAGGCAAAGTTACAGTGTACTATAATAGAAAAATTAGACATAGGCATATTACAAAGCAACAAAAGACCATTTTTATTGTCTCAAATAAACAACAAAAAACTTTAGGATAAAATTTTCAGCCAACATTATCTCTAGCATAAGTTTTATTCTTCACTTCTTTATCCATAAGTACATTCTAAATATCTGTGAAATCTTGTTCTGATCCAAAGTGTTAAACAAAAAAAAATGCAGGTTAAATTTTCTGCAAGAGATCTAGTTCATCAGTTCAGATCTTGATCATCTATGAAATAAGAATATACTAAAAAGTGACACATAAATTGGTCAGTGGGAGTAGCAATTTTGATAGGTTTGAGCTTAGATTGGTGTTAGGCAAAGTTTCTTCCTGTTGAAATGTTGAATATTAAACCCTAACCCTTGATTGTAGTGGTGGACTGGTGGGCTTAGTCCAACTTGTATCTCATATGTATATAAATATAGGACCTTATGTACAGTGTAAATACACAGAAATAATAATAAACCTATATTTTTTTACACTTCCCAAGCATTTGGCATTAGGCTTAGATCCCATACCCCCCCCCCCCCCCCCCAACTGCAACTCCCATTGATGTACTCTGTACAGAAAAAGACTAGATGATTTTTTCAGCATATCTTGGAGAAAAGATAAATAGAAAACAGCATCTAGTCTAGTGTAGACAAGATGTATATTTATATAAGTATTTTAGGCGAGCCGAAGAAAAAACCTTAAAGTGAAAATGGGCATGCCTCACTAAGGCATTTGAATGTCAGACAACAATGAGCTTTAATATAAGTAGAGAAACAGGACAGTCACCTCTTGTTCCAACTTGAATAAGTGGCGATTAAAGTGCTGCTGCAATCTTTCATTGGCATAATTAATACAAAACTGCTCAAAGCTATTCCTCTGAAAAGGAAAGTGAAGTTGAATTACAGGACAAGCAAGAAACAACAAAAACAGAGAATAAAACAGACCATACCTCAAATGATTCAAAACCATAAATATCAAGAATGCTAATAGATCTCCCAGTTCGACGTTTTCCAACTGCAAGTGACTTATTTATTTGTTCAACCAACCAATCAAATAAGCAAGAATAAATTGATTTTGCCAACGCATCTCTTGTTTCAATGGCCTGAATGATGTAAACATATGATCCAATAAGTACTTAGTCTCCCAGTACATAAAATATCTTAAAAAATACCACTTTCCACATAAAACTGCTTAATCTGAATGTATCCATGCCTGAGATGCCGTCAGCTTTTGAATTATATTATCTTTTCCAACTCTCATTTTTCGTGTTGACAAAGCTAGTTTTAATGCCTCAACCTCACATCCCAATAAAGTAGCAACAGTAATCAGACCTGGAAAGTAGATATCAAAGTTAACATCAAAACTTCCAAGTTACAAGAAGAGCTACTTCTCTATAAGCACATTAAAATGATATAAACTAACAGTTATGAAATACAAATTTTGGGGCAAGAATAATTGAAACTGCAGAAGTGTTTTGCTAAACCCCTGAAGCTCTTTCGACCTTCAACCTACTAAAGAGTTTTAAGGTTTTAAAAACTTTTACCTTCATCATCAACAGGTTCAACATGGTTTTCACTGTCAATAACCGTAAAGGATATGTTCCCCAGCCATAACACTGCTGCTAGCATTGAGAATACACTTTCCTGGTCTTCCTTGCTAACATGGACAACATCTAAAGCTTCCTGAAACATAACAATAAAATTTAGCCTCTGGAAACATAATTTTGCTTCACATGGAAAGAAAAAAAAAATATCAAAACAGATTACAATAATGTGAAGCATCTGCAAAAGTCTAAAATAGACTAGGAAAGAGAATTACTGTGACAAATTTAAATTGTTCGGCATCATCAACCCCAGAAATTGAGAAGCAATTACTTTGTCTCAAATATTTATACTCATAAGCTCCCTTCAAATTTAATTTGTCTGCAAGAGGAGACTCAAAAAAGTGAAAATTAAGAAAATTCATACTTAACATGTCAGAAAAATACATTAGAAATCAATTACATGGTAGTATCCGGGAGTAAGGAACAAGACATTTGAACTGCGAAATACTATAAATAAATTTCCCTGTATCACATTATTCTTACAGTTTCAGCATCTATCCATCTAGGATTTTGCAACTCTATAAAGCAGCGTGAAAATATGGAAACCATTCACTGTTTAAGGAAACTTTTTACTTATGCAGGACTATAAATATACAGCAACCATCTGGTCTGAGTTTAACCTGGTTTTGGTTTGCAAATATCCTATCCTGACTTCAAGCTCATACCTAATTTGTAGTGGAGAGCGCCAGATAAAATATCCCCTCTACTAATGATTTCTCACATGGCCCAAAGAGACGAGGGGAAAAGTCATTTTTATGTTCCCTCTAACAGACTTATATGGAGTATCATTTCTTATACACACAAGCAGACATAACATTTTAGCAAGCAAACTGTTTGTTTGCCAAACTAATGCAATGAACACCCCATTAGAAAATTAATATTGTATTAGATTTGTACCCCTTAGTGCAGGTGGAGCTCCCGAACAGAGATGATAAAAGATATGATATGACCTTTCTCCCTCTGTGCACTGGACCACTCTTGACTGCAAGTAGAAACTTAATGAAGTCAATATAAGAAACACTTGAATAAACCAACATTGAAAAAATATAACAGAAATATACCTTTTCAAGTAGAACTGAGAAGATTAAGCACCATATTGCAGAGCAGAAAACAAAAGTGCATCACAATGTTAGTCAGAGTAACATCATAAAGTAAATATCATGTGCATACACATCACAAGAAAGCCAAACAAAATGCTTGCTTACAAGTCTGAATATTTGCACCAGATATCTTTCCAGTCTCACTAAAATGGATTTCAATCAGCTTTCCCTGTCAATGAATCGCTAAATTATCAAAGTCTAGCAACAGTACATCAGAACTTCACTTGTACAAAATATCATTATATTCCATTATATTAACAAAGAAAAAGGATTAACTAATGATTATTAATTAAACTTACAAATCGACTTGAGTTATCATTCCTTAATGTTTTTGCATTTCCAAAGGCCTCCAATATGGGATTTGTTTTCAGAATTTCATACTCAATTCCACTGCCACCTCCAAGTGCAGCCAAGTATTGCATTGCAATCTTTGCTGTCTCAGTCTTGCCTGCTCCACTTTCTCCACTGGTGACAAAACAAAGAGTAAATAAATGAGCAGCGCTTGCAATGTACCCAAAAATATAATTCTATGCCTTACTGGCAGAACAATACCAGGCAGGACATGTAGTTTATGTAACATGGTATATTTAATATGCCACTGGTGAAAACACTTCATGCCTGTCATCCTTCAATAATTCATGTTTCACTTGGTTATCAAACCTATGCTTATGTTCGTTACATTCTTCAAAGTTTCAGTAAAGAAAAAAATCGAAATCAATACAGTTTAGGTATAGTTTTGAATTTGACTTTCAAACAAAGTTTTCACTTTTACAAGACAACAACAATGATAACTATGAAGAATTGAACTTGCTAACCTTATAATAATAGACTGATTTACTTCATCTGCAATAAAAATGATGTGTCAGACTTCTCTAAAATAAATAACCACAGAAGTCCGTGAAACATAATCATTATCCCCAGGAAAAAAAAAAAGAAAAAAAAAAGAAGTCATTATGTAACCAAAGAGTACCTCGAACCATCTCCCTCATTGCTGTATCTGTGATAGCATACACATGTGGGCTATCAGAGGATTTACGCTTATATGTTTCAATGTCATCATTCCCATACAATGGAACATTCTTGAAGGGATTAATCGCAACAAGAACAGGTCCAGCTTTTGACTGGAAAATGAAAATACATTATTTTATGAGTCAAACAAGTTCTTCACAAGCGAGATTAACAAAACATCCAAATATGTGCTTACGTATATGATATCTCTATTGTACCGGTACTGAAGATTATACAGAACTGATGCCTCATTCAGATAACTTAGTTGCATAAGATCATCCACCCCATCAAGGATGTCTGGATTAGCTGGTAGCAGATTTTCAGATTTCACATTTTGCACCTGAGATCAAGGCAGAACAAAAAAAAGATAAAAGAGATATTGAATTGATTACTTTACATCTAAAAAATCCAAATAAACTCACTCTTCCATCAGAGAATGATATCACTGACTCAGTTCCAGAGGTGGATATGATTGTTACTAGCTGCCAGTTTCCATCCGGAAGTTGTAACCAAGAACGGACCTTTTAAAAAAAGCCAACTTTAATAAATAGGTAATAAAATCAGTAAAAATGTGCAAAGATGATAACAAATTCAGATGGGTAAATCCTCGGTTCCTATGCAAATATGATTACAAAAATCAAGAAAAGGCCCAATCACCCCAAGAGAGAGAGAGAGACAGAGAGTAGAGACGCAGTTAATTCTCCACATACGCAGAAAATGATAGAAAAGAACATTTCATTGATAAAGGAGAAAATATTACTGGAAAATGATGACAGCAGAATATCCCAAAAAGAGAAAACATTTATGACTGTTATTATCCGAAGCAAATCAAAAATATCAAAGATAGATTAGACAGTAGCTATCTACCAAGGTTCAACACTGGAATAGAGTCATAGACAATGGAAGTACAAGTAAAACGCATCTGAAAAGGAAGCAGACACATGATCAGGACAGCAAAAGCACCTTGACCACAAATCTTCTACATCCCAAATTACACTTATAACAATGGAGGCCTTGCAGTTAAATATACATTAAACAATATACTGTTCAAATAGCTATCACTCTGAGAATCCCAGCTGTTAAAGTAAAGCAGCCGGAAAAAGGGAAGAATGATGGCAACTGTTATTATTGAACAAAGAGATCAAACAAGGATGTGAAGAGACACCCTCCAGCAAGAATATAGATCCTTTGCCCAGTTCCTAGAGCTATATTACTTAGGATGTTTATTCAATGCCTTTGAGGTCCCTACTTATGATGTAATACAATGTATATGTTAGGAATCCGAAATGAAAAAATAGAGAGAAACACATTGGTTTATAAGGTCACAAGTTAGACTAACTAATTAATTGAATTCAATCCCCAGTGTGGTTTGGCCCATGTGCATTACAGCCCGATTGAGTGACCTCGGTTCAATCTTAGATTCTAACATGATATCAAAGTTTGTTTGGCCCACTTTGTTTGCCCAATAGTTTGTCTAGATGTCCCGTCCTAGTGGCCCAAGGTCCGTTCACCCAGTTGCCTGCCCATGGTTCACCCAATTCCAAGCTTCCGTTTCAAGGGAGGGTCAGATCCAATTCAAGTTTCAACCAGTTAGATTCAAAATGGCCCGGTTGTCCACTTGAGGGTGAGTGTTAGGAATCCCACATTGAAAAAATAGAGAGAAGCATATGGGTTTATAAGGCCATGGGTTAGAATAACTAATTGATTGAATTCAATCTTTTAGTAAACGGGATCAATTATGGAACTGATTTTCTGTTAAATCTCATGATTTATGATTTGTTTATGGTCTGCAAATTTGCTGCCTGATTTGCTTGATTTCCATTCTTGTGCTGACTGCCTTTCTTGAGTAATATGCCATCCAATGGTTCTGATGCGTGTCAGAGGCAATGCACTTCTTTATCAAGTTTCCTTCAAAGTCTCAAACCAGGTAAAAGAGCTTTATGTCCTACAAATTCCATTGCAGCATTGCCTACTCTTCTCTTTTAATAAATGCAACCACTATGCAATGTAAGGTGCTCCTAGCATTAGCTCATAAATCACACTGGATGAAATTGTTGAATGGAAGTACAGGAGTTATCATCACACTAATATTCCACTCCTGAAGTAAAATTGTAGAGAAAATTTCTAGTATAGGATGATTAGGATCAGGATTATTTTATTATACCATTTTCCATTTTCCAAGAGGACATACAAGGAAAAACAGAAAGAATGAAAACAAAAACTAGCTTCTCACATAGTTCACAAGGAAAGCACAACACCTAATAATCAATTCATCTAGAGCATATTATTAAGGCATCCAAAATTTTACAAATGTAAAAGGAATAGCATAATACTCTACGTATTAGCCAACAGATTCATCATTTAGGGGAGCTCCCAATATTTTTGCCTTTTCACCAAACAGTAGATGAATTATCTACTACTCAGTAATATTGTTGTTGTTGTTATTGTTGCTGCTGCTATTGTTGTTCTTGTTATTTTGAGCAAAACAGCAGCTGATCCTTGGAGAATAAAATTGGATCTGTTTCATTTCTGCAAAGTTTAAAATGTCTCTTCAAGCTTGACCTCATATACAGAAGCTACCCTACAGTTTCATTCACTCAGGAGCTGTAAAGCATGAACCATCAGGTTCATAAACTCTCAAACCATTGTCTCAACTCTCAAAATACACTAGGAAACAAGATGCCACTAAAAAACAAAGCACATAACTAATCGGTTGGTTTTTAAAGCATTCTTCAAATGACAAACATAAAACGTGACAAGAACTAACTTAATGGCATGTAGATAAGTCCAAGATTAGGAGGTTACCTTCTTGGCTGCATAGAACTTGTTATCACTCCACTTTGACTCAGCACTAGTTGGGGCAACCGATCGTGAAGGGTAAGTAGTGACATTCAGATCATCATCAACTGCAGAAGGCCTTTCATCAGCAGAAAAGCTAAAACTTCTGTAAGGGGATTCGTCATTGTCCTCATTAGAAATGCCATTAACCTCAGCGAAGAATTCTCCATTATCTGCAACCATATCTGATGCCATCCTATAACCTTTCTGATTCACCACATCAGGTTTCTTTAAGGAAGCAGAATGCACAAATCTAGCATCCAGAGGCAAAGATTTGATTGACTGAAGAGATGGCAAAGAACCGTTAGCCCTCTGTGTCATTCTTTTAACTGCTTCCCTTCGACCAAATTCTTCAATATGATCGGGCTCTAATAATTGGATCAAAAAGCTAAACCTTTTCTCCTCTTTTTCTTGACAAAAGTGAATTAAGCTTTCCACAAGGTCCCACTATGGAGAGGAGCATAACATACAAATATAGCTTGCCAAACACACACCACCAACAATAGACCCCAAATAGTGGCTCCTTACTGATCAATCACACCATCACCACATCAACATCAAAATCACTCCAACATCATCTCCAAACTATAGTATCCTCAAAAAAAATCTTAAATGTTCAGTTAAATAAAAAAAATTGTAAGATAACTGAAAAAAACAAGTCACCCTAATCGAACAAAAACGAACTTCCAAGCTCCAAATCCAGTCCCAACCCCTCAATTCGCTTCAACAAAACATCGCCAACATATCACAATTCCGATCCCTCCAAACACAATGTAGTCTACAGGTCCAGCAAAACTCGATCTGACACTAACCTCAAAAACCAAATTCCGTCAGAAATGCTTCACTGGAAGTGATAAATCTGTACACCTTCAGAAAAATAAAATTATTACAAAAAAAGAGTGAGAGCTCAAACATGAAACAGACAGCTTCAACTTCAATCTTCTCTCCGCATCACCAAAACATCATCAAAGTCGGTTCCAACACATGCATTTAACACTGAAACTACACCCAACATTAACCTATTTCAAGTAAAAAAAAATACCAAAATTTCGCAAAATCCGACTGAAAACCCTACTGCTAATCCTCGGGTGGTTCTATAGAGAGAGAAAGAGAGAATCGAGAAAGAAAACCCCCAAAACTAACGGAGAAGGAAGAACATTTACCCTTTTGCTTTGCTACTCTCTGTACTTCTGTAGCAATCTTTTTCTTCTTTTACCTCCTTAAAGCTCAAAAAGCATTTTAGTGGGAAATACAAATACTGAAATACAGTACTACTGAATTATTATTATTTTTTTTTTTTTGCTGCAAATTTTTTTGAATTTTTGAACACCTTGAATTCAGAAGCATTTGAAAATCACATGTTGTTAGTTTAGTGAAAGGACGATAATGCCCCTTCTCCCTCACTACTACTACTGACTATTTGTATTTTGGACCACAAAAATAATCAGAATTCATAAAAATACATAACCAACCAAATTGCATGGTTATAATATAGCTAATAGCAGTGTGTAGATAACTGGCTTCTCTTCCTCTGCAGTGATCAGTGGTGGATCAGATGACATGCATGCATGAATGCAAATGGACAAAGTTCTTGCATTGTTTGTGTGTGTGTGTGTGTATATATATATATATATGTGTGTGTGTGTGGTCACGTTCAAATGCAAATCAGTCTTTCCATGTGACTTCTCAATTCCAACCGAAGATGCATGGAATAAAGAGAAGCGGATATCATGAAATGACACAAATGCCCTCCTCTCAAATAGCCATCTAACGGGAATGTAGAAGTAGAACTAAAATTGTCCTCGTCTCAATAAGTGTGTTCATAAATTGTCTAAATGTTGTATGGAAGACTAAAAATGTTCGTGTCAGTATAAGTTAGGACAAAAAATGTCTTTTATTAATAATATAATTCATACAAGCAAAGTATTTAAAGTGGAGTAAATTAAACCTCAAGAGGGATGAGTGAAGTTGAATACAATCAAGTACTACTCAAGTGGAGGAGACTCATACGAGATGCTATAGAACTTGGTTGTCAAGCTTAGCTTCACGTTTTGAATTGGTAATTTTATTAATAATTTTAAATTTATAAATATAATTTCAACTATTGATTTAAAATACAAATAAGTTAAACTCAAGTTTTAAAAAATAATTTCAATTTTATAATTATAATTTCAATTTTCAATTTTAAATACAAATAAATTAAACTCGAAATTTAAAAATATCTCTACAAAATTTACATTAAACTCAAAATTTAATACATAAACAAAAGTACAAAAGCATAAATAAAATGAAAATTACATTGAATTGTTGTGGACAAATCTTCTTCATGATATATATAGTCGCAAATCATTTTGTGATTTGCTAGTTGTTATTCTATCATTTATGAAGTATCTTTATACAATATTTGTAACTTCATGGCCTCGTCATATTATTTCTTTGCCAATGCGCCCTTTTCCTTTGCCACAACGTTTCTTTCCTATGCCGCAACGTTTCTTTCCTTTGCTGCAACACTTTTTCCTTTTGTCGCAATGTATTTATCAAGTATTTTCCCTAGTCGATTGTCAATTTCGACAGTTCCCACTTTTCATTTGCCTGTTCTCTTGGCAACCATTCCAATAGGACGTGCGTGTCCAAACTTCAAGTTCATTAATATTATCGTATTCAATTGCAATGGGTATGTACTGTTCAATTAATGGTAACGTTTCCAAGTTTTTTATTGTGCACATACTATATGCGTGACATATCGAAATTTAATGATTGACATTTTTTAAACAAATGTCACACATGTTCAAAAAGGAAAATGCGATACCTTATAATTATTTTTGTATTATGTGTAAATGCTAACCAACACGTCCAAATTACTCCATTGCTAGCTCACTGCTGGCCACCATTACAACCACCTAAGCTAACACCCTTTGCTATGTACTTGTAGCCCTTTAATTTGCAAATATTTTATTTTTCTTATTAATTAATAATTAATGACTACCATGACTGCACATAAGCGTTGTTTGATTAAGGTGAAGACAAAACATCTTCGTCTAATTAACAAGCGACCTCATTTCGATCTCATCTTTATTTGTCCGGCCATGGGACAATCATGAATGCTTCCCGCGTCTTTGTATACAAGCTAAGACGAAGCTCGGTTGCTATAAACAATCATGAATATTTTGATTTTAAAACATAAACAATAAGGAGCAAAATGATGATGATGACCAACATGTAAATTATAACAAAAAGGATGCATATTACACTGCTGAAAATTATGAAATTTTCGACCATTTAAAAGTGATCTTAAATCAAGTCGAAAGCAAATAGTGGTCGGAAATAGCAACAAAAAATTTATCGGATACCAAAAGTGGTTGGAACAAGACTTAAGTGTATTTCTTTTGGGTCCCCCTCCCTATGGATCCTTAAAAATAAAAATAAAAATAAAAATAAAGTACAACTATACAAAATTAATATAATTTTAACCCCCTATCTAAAGAATTGAATATTCCAAGTTCCAATCTAGCCCTTACGTACCAGTACCCAACACCTTACGCTTCCGATTTCCAAAAGAAAGAAAAATCATTGAAAACATATGTGGATTGGGGCCATTAAATCATCAAATTTATTATGGTTTTAAAGTATGGGATAGCAACTGCTTTACACTTTTGTAATGCATTCCAATCAACCACCATGATTAGTCACTGTGGAAACATATTTGATTTTTATAAATTATATATAGAGTTAATCAACGATTTGGCCCCTCAATTATTAGCAAACTGTCAATGTAGTCCCTCAATTGCTTATTCATCGATTTGGTCCCCAAAAACAATTATTTTTAGTCGATTTAGTCCCTCCGACCGTCGATTTGGTCCCCGAAAATAATTATTTTTAGTCGATTTAGTCCCCCCGCCCGCGACAGAAGACGGTCTGAGGGACTAAATCGACTAAAAATAATTGTTTTCGGGGACAAAATCGATGAATAAGCAATTGGGTGACTACATTGACAGTTCGCTAATAATTGATGGACCAAATCGTTCATTAACTCTTATATATACTAGTATTTTTTATGTGCGATGCGCAAAAATAGGTGTCCAATATTAATACTTTATATTAAAATCTTAGATTCATTTAGGTTTTATATATTTATATTATTGTAAATAATAATAATAATAATGCAAAACATTTTTATAAATTTGATATTTATATTTTAGAAAATAACTAACATATAACGTAACTCCAATATATAATGTGTATATATTATTATTATTATTATTATTATTATTATTATTATTATTATTATTATTATTATTATTATTATTGAAGAAGATAAGAAAATATATTGGATGCATGTGCATGGTAACAATATAGTGGAAAAAATAACGGAAGATATAACAATATGGGTATGTTTGTTCAAAATATTGTATAGTACAATTCTTATAGCATAATGTATAAAAATGTAACGAAAAAAATGAACATAACTGAAGGTATAACTTTCATTTATACTTATTAGTTTTTAGACATGGAAAATGCTAATTACAACATCAATGATCATATGCACAGCTTATATTATTCCAATCAAAACATGTTAGCTGTTTATTATCAATATATGGCTACATTGCATTATAACATGTGACATGCATGTGGTTGTTAAATTTATTTAAGGTGCACAGTTTGTAATTCAATTCATTAAAACAACATGTTTTTTTTTTTTTTATGTATTATTATTGACTAATTGACTCTATTACAAGGTAGTGACGTTCCTTGAAAAAGAGCCACAGAGGTGTCAACTGATTACAATGGTGCTTGCAACATGTTAAGTAATAAAGTATATAAAACAATGAATATGCAGTCTTATTACTATTAGTTAATCTTTAATTGAGATAATAAAAATACATCTTCTGGATGACGAAGGAAATTTAGGGTGCATCTAGGTAAAATCCGCTCCTGTGTCCACAGGTTCGACTAAGAGGGTGTTGATAAAAACTGAACATGTGAGCTTCTGAGGTACGAGAATCAGTCTTCACATATGATCCAGAATTCATTTATAAATTGAATAAATGGATAAAGAGGAGGTTTTGGTGAAGAATATGTGGCTGTTAGGGCAATTGTTTTCTCAGGTGATGCTACTGGCCGGTTTGAATGTATTTTATGTATAGTGGCTGGCTTCTTTTGTTTTGTTGGATTGTTCTTGGCCATTAGCCAGCGTCGTGTAAACTCATTTTGTATTTTCAACGTTTCAAGTTGAACAAAAAATAATCAAAGTTAACATTTTTGTATGTATCCTTATGACTCATTAATTGTATATTCATATCGTATAAGACATGATGGATTCTACAACTCGTATATGTATGGAATATAACGAACGAATAATAAAACGGTAAATATTGTATTAATTGGATATAAAATGCTATTACAGAGGTTCGGGACGTGTAATAACAGTACAAATGTTATAAGAAAGTATGAGATGCTTGATTAGGACACCGGGGGTGTTTATATACCCCCGGCTGCTATGGGCCCTGGGCCCGCGGGACTCGCTCCGCGCGAGGACCCAGCCCTTGGCCGAGCTCGGGGGGTCGGCCCACGCCGACCCCTACTGGGACGACCCGGGGGCGGCTCATCCTGCATCGCGGGTGGGCACGGGGTCCAACCCAGTTCGTATTGTTCCGCCCCGCTCCGGTTCCGTGATTATTCCATCAAGACTATTTCAGTATTTCACGTGAAATAGTATAACACTTTAATTTTTATAGAAAACGTAATATTTTTTAAGCTAAGAATCGGACATACCAAAACTTGTAATTACTTTAGTTATAAATTAATTACTTTAGATTGATATCTCCAATTTGGTTCATGGCTATTACTCAAACTGACATTAATTTCA